CTTGTGGGAGATCTGGTCTGGGTGAGGGCACACCCTCAGTCCAAAGCCTCTGACAAATTTTCGTCAAAGCTAGCACCTAAATGGACAGGTCCGGCTAAAGTGATGAAAATATTTGGTCCTGTTAATTATAGGCTTAAATGGCAAGACAACTCAGATAAGTTAGATACTGTAAATGTGGGTAATCTAAAGCCTTATTTTGGGGGCTAAGACCCTCAATGCCTCCAGTTTGCGGGGGTCTGTGACACTGCCACATGAAAGGTCTTTTATAGGAAATATATATGTAGCACATTACTTCAAAGAAAATGTTTAAAACTTAAATGTCTTGCAAGGATAAACTTCCTGTGTGCTAACATTTCAAATTGGTGAGTTTTGCTATTCGAGGTCAGGTAAAAAGGGGACCAGAATAAAATTGTTTGCTGAACCATCATAGCACTGTTCCTTTAAGAGCCTTCCTGGAAATGCTAGGGGTGGAGCTCCTGGGAGACAGGAGGAGCATTTCCTGGTTAAAAAGAGAGAGAGGAGGAAGGAGAGAGACAAGATGGAGGTGTAAGAAAGAGGAAAGTTTGGTGTGTTTTGTGAGTACTGAAGGGATTAACAAACAGAAGCCACCAACATTTCCTCTTATTCCTCTACTTATGGACTGGCAGACCAGTGGACCAAGCATGTTCAAAAAAGGATTAAAAAGGACTCTAAGAAAAGTGGATTAATCCTCAGGGATCTGAAAGAAGCTTGGGGATAGGCCTGCCATTGCCGGTGAGATCCAGCTGGTTTACGTTTTTTGTTCGTTTTTTGCAATGCATTGCTAAGGACTTGAATTTTTGATTAAGCATTTTTCGATTTTTTGCATTTTGGACTTGTTGGACTTTGGAGAAACTGGGAGAGGGGCATGGAATGTTGTTAAAATTTGATGGTGTGAGGGTTCTGTTTGTGCATTATAAATTGTGTATGTTTTGGCAGATACCTTTAAATATATAAAGCATTTCTGGGTGCCAGGTTAAACAGGGTCTATTTGGGGTTTTTTGTGTGCTTGACTTTGTTGGTTTGTACTACATTAGCTCTTAATCATAAGCTGTGTATCCTCGGACTATAAATGTAACCCCTAAACTTATAATAAGTCAAGGTGATTGTTACAGCATATAACCACTAATCTCTGAAGGAGAGAAATGAGGTACAACACTTACTGTGTAGGATAACATGCCCTTGTATTTCTGGCTGAAGACCTTTAATCATGCCTGCAAGGCAGATGATGCATATATAGGTAGCTCAGGTTTCTCTTCATTCATCATTAACAAAGATTTCCATGGAGGGGAACGTTGACAAGTTTTTTATTTTTGAAGGCTTTCACAGAGCTAAATCTGTCCTGCATTGACTGTATTTGTACTCTGCACAATGACAAAGTTGAATCTAATCCAAAAAATGCATGGGGCATGTGGGTGTGCCCCCTACTTATAACACGTTGTTATCAACATCTCTCCTCCATTCAGGTGCTGCTCTTCACCAAGCCAATGGTGGAGCAGGGCAGCCTGTGTTTTACCTCCTTCAGGGAATAGTGGTTATATACATCAGATTATGTTCTCTATTAGTTGATTCACTCAATACAACACATACTGTATGGGACATATATTCACCCCCATGAAGCAGACCCCAGGTGGTGAAGGTTGGGAACAGCTTCTCTTCCACACTGACTCTGAGCACAGGGGCTCCCAGGGATGTGTGCTCAGCCCCCTCCTGTACTCCCTGTATACACATGACTGTGTAGCCAAACACACATCTAACATCATCTTCAAGTTTGCTGATGACACCACCATCCTCGGCCTCATCACTGATGGAGATGAAACAGCCTACAGAGACGAGGTCAGCGCTCTGTCAGAGTGGTGTCATGACAGCAATCTCTGTCTCAACATCAGCAAAACTAAGGAGATGATCGGGGACTACAGGAAGCTGCAGAGGGGTGGTCACTCTCCCCTGTTCATCAATGGAGCTGAAGTGGAGAGAGTCAGCAGTGTGAAGTTCCTCGGCGTACACCTCACTGATGACCTCACCTGGTCCCTCCACACCAACACTATTGTGAGATCTGCCCGTCAGCGTCTCTTCTTCCTGCGTAGGCTCAGGAAGTTTGGTCTGCCTCCTCAGATCCTCACCAACTTCTACAGATGCACCATAGAGAGCTTCCTCACAGGCTGCATCACTGTCTGGTACAGCAGCTGCACTGCCTGTGACAGCAATGCCCTTAAAGGAGTGGTGAGGACAGCAGAATCCATCATAGGCAACAACCTACCAGCCTTACAGGACATCTATCAGTCCCGCTGCCTCAGGAAGACCAGAAAGATCCAGTCAGACAGCATCACCCAGCACACAGCCTGTTCACCATCCTGCCATCAGGCAGGAGATTCCGCAGCATTCAGGCTAGGACGACCCGGTTAATGAACAGTTTCTATCCACAGGCTGTCAGGCTTCTGAACAAGCTGTGAAGCTGTGGGTCCTTCACCAACTACCATTTCACTCAGTCTCTCTGTCAGTAATGTTATATCACATTACTGCTATGGACAACAACACTTTAACACTGTCACTTTAAATAACAATAACACTGAGTCACTGAAGTCACTTTAAAAAGCATATGTTCTTTATAGATTATCTCGTGTTTAATATAAATATATTTGTACATAGCACAGAGGATTTTTTTTCTCCTTATATAGGTCCCTCCTTTATCTATATTTTGTGTCTATTTAATATATTTCAGTTTCAGGATTTTCTTGTATTTTTATTTTAACTTTGTTTACTTTCTGTAGACTGATTATTTGAGTCTCACCACAAGCTTTTAAATGCATGAATGTCCTGACAAGTTGTACAAATGAAAAATAAACTTAAAACTATAGGGAGACCCTGAAAAATGACCTCTGATGTAACTATTCCTCTTGTGAAATGAGCCCACACTCCCTCAGGTAGCTGCAGACCCTTGCTGCTGTAAGCTAATAAAATATCTGAAATATCTTCCATGGCCCAGTGGGAGAGATGCTATTCAGACACCTACGATGGACTGGGCTGGCACAACAGACAAATAGCTGATCACAAATATGGAAAACCTGAGTATAATTAATGTATGCTTTGCTATATACACTGTGTTAAGGTGCAGTGTAACCTTAGTGTCACTTGGCACAAACTAAGTACATTAAGGAGATCCCCCACATGCTTTGCAGAAGCTAAAGCGAAGAGTAGAGCCATCTTATATGAAACAAACTTCACTTCAGTATTGGAGACAGGTTTCCTTGGCGCACTCTCCCTGGAGTTGGAAAAATCAGCTCTACTGGGGGGCCATGGGTGTGCCAGTGCATTCATGGCACAGCTTCAGAAGCATACTCAGCTGTCACTGTGTCTTAAGATGTCTTAAGATGTCTTGACAGTATTTATAAGATGCCTTGAGACATTTTTTTATGCCAAGACGTCTCAAGAACGTCTTAAAACATATGAGTGAAGACACTGTCTTTGTCTTGAGACATGAAAGTTAACGTCTTAAGACAAAGAAGTAATTATTTAGTGTGTCTTGAAGACGAGGCATGACTTAAGACATCACTTTGTCTTAAGACATAGAGATGTTGTGTCTTAAGACAGTTCAGTTGAGACCAAAGAGTGGTCCATTACAAAAGGTCCTGTGGTATGAATGTGGTATTCCTGTGATACTGCCAAACTGAAAATTACTACTGAGGATTACCACAGCACTGCCTAATGTACAATATAATGAGAATATAACTACATAAGAGAGAATATAAGTATGTCCTCAAGAAACAGCCTGCTGTAATCTTATGGTTTTTGTGTGATATTACTAAAAGAACATTCACTAAGGTTTTACTTGCTGTACTTTTGTGATTCTGTATGTTTTGTTTTTTGATTATTGCAGAAATGTGTTTACAGTGGCAAAATAGCAAAAGAAAAAAATCATTTCTTAAACCATTTACCTTACCTTAAAATGTTTAAACTCATTTCCTTATATCATTGAAGTTCATGGTAGAATAACTTTTAATTTGTAACATTTACCAAAGGGGATAATCACAGTCAGTCACAGCCTTTTGCTCATTTGCAGAAAACATGCTATGATTAAAACAACATTGATCTATTTTCAAATGTACAACTGTAACCAGAGACAACAAGCTAGGAACCAAGATAAAACAACTTTGAGCTAAGAGGAAGTAAATGTACTTAACAGCTAACCTGAGTACTTTAGAGATCTCATACCACCAAAACTTAATGCAAAAAAAGCCCCTGGTTCACTCTCTTCAACATCTACACTTCTGTTTATTTTCTTAAGCAGATCAGGGCTGCCCAAAGTTAGACTTTTAAACTTTCAAAATTATTATCTCCAGTATTTGGAAAACACGAACAATAATAAACAAATGTATTTGAGTAGTAATATATAAAGACCTGTATTGTTTCACCACGTAAAATTACATAATAAACAGATTTTTGTTTAAATGTCAAACTTCATACTTTGACTTTAATATATTGAGACATGGCCTCCAGTGATGCTGTATGATAACGCTGCACAGCTGTATTATGTATTTCAAGGGTTTGCAGTTTTCTATTCTGTGTCTAGATTAAAAAAAACAAACAAACAAAAACAAAACAGCACAGTTCATTCAGTACAGCAGAGCCGTGCGAACCAGAAAAAAAGATCTATGTGAGGACAAACAAAAGACTGGCGGGAGTTTAGACCAATCAGAGCGCGGGACTCCGCCGCTTGGACGTTCGGTTTTGAAGCGCGAGCGCTCTCCGCCGTTCCTCCGTTTAAAGCCAAACGCGGCCGTTACAGCCGTTACAGTGAGCGGGTCTCTCAGGTCGCTACCGCGGGCAGTTTATCGAGTTTGTTTAGCGAGTGTTGAACCTGATAAGACTCTCTTACACTCCTTACTAAGACAGCGCCGCCTGCCGGGTGACGCTTTCAGCTCCCAGAAACGAGGATTTTCAGCTGCGTAGCTGATTAACGATAACTACTGACTGGACCGAGAGGAGTGGAGACTGGTTTTACGACTGGAGTCCCGACTGCAGCGGTCAGAGTCTGCTTTTAAAAGGTGAGTAGTGACCGAATGAGATAAGCAGCCTCACTGACAGTCAGCTGGAGTAAACTTTTGTTTCTGTATTTCTGGGTTGATCTGCCGAGTGAAGACACCAGCGGTAGGTTAGCTTATGTAGTTAGCTAGCTAGCGGCTAAGCGGCGTGTCTGTTTACGCCTCGCGGCTGCGTCAGATCTCGCTTAGCACGCGCTGCAAATGAAAGACTGCCTCAGAAATAAACCTAAGACTGAACACAGTGCAGCAGGGTCAGCGCACTGATCACAGTGCAGCAGGGTCAGCACACTGAGCAACAGCGCAGCAGGGTCAGCGCACTGATCACAGTGCAGCAGGGTCAGCACACTGAGCAACAGCGCAGCAGGGTCAGCACACTGAACAATACAACAATGAAACTGAACATAGTCCGTCAGTCTGTGTAGTTCAGAGAGCTCAGTTACATTTACTCCAGTAACGTCTTGGTGGATTTGTACTTTCTAGAGTATTTTTAAAATGTATTATCTGTGCTTTAGATGTTTTACTCGGCTACATTTATTAGTAATATGTAATGACCAGTTTGTTTTGTGTTTTTCATTGTTTTGCCTTACTGTTGTTGTTTTGCTGCATTTACCTCATGCGTCTGTTTTTGTTTTAGATGTTTCTCATCAGAAATCATCTGAAGCTGAGCAACTGGTGAGACTCAAGTTTTAATTTTTTAAATGAAACTATAAGAATGTCAGACAGATGTTTAGATTTGGTGGGTATTCCAAACAAATATAATTCATGAAGTATTTATTTATTTATAGTTCTCTGTGAGAGAGATTAGAGGCATTGAACTCTTCAAACGTCTGGTTCTTGTCACTGCCACTATGAACAACTCTGACTCTGTAAGTTTTTCCACAGTGGAACATTTTGTATCAAACTATTTTTTTGCATCTTAATGATGAAATTGTGCTTAAAAATCATGTAATTCTCCTTTAACACAGCTTTTAACAGATACAGATATCAGTACTAAGCTCACACCTGCCTCAATAGCAAATGATCATTTCTGTTACGTGTTGACCCTGGCATGTTAGAGGATGAAAACAATAGAATTGTGAATTATCTAATCAACTTTGTTGTTTTCAATCCTTCCAAAGGAACATCCTCTCTTTGGGCCTCATCCAGTATGGTGGCAGTCCATATCATTTTCAACACTCAACTGTGCTCTTACACAAGTGGCCTCATCCTGATGCTTCTTTCATTACACTGAACATCATTGTCTGAACATCAGCTATGCGTGTGAGCTGGGTGCCACACTGGAGTTCATGCATAGGTATTATTTAAAGCCTTGTCACATTTCTTTGTGTACTGAATGCCTGAGTTGATTTTAGATGAGTAAAATTATGTATACTGTGCATTATATTCTACTTATAAAGGGAATATATAATGCTTTCCCTTTTATTTACTGTGTTATGTAGCTTTTTGTGTATGTAAGATACAAAGCTGAAAGTATCTGCCAGAGGGAGAAACTCTCTCCCACAGAAACCACTTTTCTCAGCTGCCTGAGGGCTGGAGTTCCCCAGCCCTTTTCCTTTGTTACAAGATGATGTAATCCCATAACACAATCCTTATTGCCCACCTACCAGCGAGCTTGGCACGCCCTCACACAACGCAACGCATCTACCGGAGCCCGTGTATTGGCGGAACCGCTCTGGTGCTTGATCAGTCAGAGCCAAGTGAGCGAGCTGACTAATCTGAGCATACTGGGCTCATCAGGAAGGAGGGGCTTAAAGACACTGGATCTCTAACAGAGCGTTTCAGACAGAGGGTGAGTAAACAATTACAGTATGAGAAAAATAATGTGTTTCTGGAACACTGAAGCATGTAAATGTATTATAGTCGACCCCAAAAATAAAATTATGAACATTGGAAATTAGCATAACAGGTCCCCTTTAAATTCAGCCTGCTTGTCTGTGCAGATCAAAAAGTAATTTCAAATTTATTGTCTTAAAATTGATTTTTCAACAGATGCATTTTCCTCATATCTCTGACAAAGAAGACCAACACTGAGAAAAAACAGAGGAAGAAGCGCTGGGCTGTGAATCTGACAGTTCTCTCACTCATCACGGATTTAACTCTAAAAGGAGAGATCGGTAACAGCATTAGCAGTGTGATATCAGTAATGTTAGTGTTCAGGCATTACGGCATGGACATATGCACACTGAGTTATCTGTGTCCTGTTTCCTGTGTCCACGTATGTCCACATAAAATGTCCACAGCTTGATTCTATTCCAGCTCCCAGCACATCTGAGTCTGGTATTAATTGTTTGACAGCTGATCATTATCTGGCTCAGGTATGTTATGAGTACTGCTGGGGTTCAGACCTCTGTATTACTCTGTTGGTCAGTTTTTCTTTTTAGTCCATATTAATTTGTCTTAAAATTGTTTCCTATCATTTATAATTGTTCATAGTACTATATTGTTAATAACCTCAGCATAACTTATATACGGAATAACAGCAGACCTTAAAATCAGATTCATTGGTCAGAACTGTGTATTTATTGCAGTATATTTCAAATTTCTACACAAAGTCAGTTAACATGTTTTTCTCCGTCTGTAGAACATATCAAGTGTGATGACGCTATTGTACTGTGCATATACACAGTTGTAAAAACAATAAACAATACCTGTAATCTATATTTTTTGAAAGCTATGTGGGTGCTTTTTCATGGGCTATGCTTTGGATTGCAGAGTAAATTTGAATGTAGAAGTATTCTGAATTTTTACCAGATTAACAAGGAAATACAAAACTGTAAAATAGTGATTTTCCATACCCCTTTAAATTACTTTACTGTAATTTATGCATACTTATTATTGTTCTTGTTCTCCTTATTATTATTATTTTAAAAGTTGATAAAATGATACCTTCATTAAAAAATGAAGCAATTGTAAAATAGTCTGTAAAAAAATGTATTTAACACATTTTACCACATTAAAACATGAAGGGTTAATTACTATAAAAAGGTATTTAAAAGCACTGAATTAAATTTTTAAATTTTGCTGCAACACTGTATTACAAAATAGTTGCATAAGAGTCTTCCCTCATACTACCACCATGTTGAAGACATGGTATGAACTCACAAATAAACTTCCATCATATCACTGATTCCATAAACTTTTCTAATGCAACTGAAACATTTAAAGGAGAATTCCACATTTTTCTGAACTTGGCATAATTCTGTCATTGCGATGTAAACAAAATCATTTAGTGGTTTCATATAAAATGGCTTATTGTAGAGAAAGCTACAGACTGGGAACCATGTGCCTATTATTATTATTACTTTTGTTGTTAAATTTGTATAATGTATAAATGTAGTATGTACTAATGTATGTAATGTTTGTATGTTTATAAAATGATATGCAATATATTAAAATAAATGATACCATTATGCATCTTACATAGAACAAAAAAATGGAAAAAAAAAAATTACTATAATTTTAGCTATAAATAATGTTACATTTTAAAATTCCCTTATTTAAAAGTGAAAGATTTATTTAAAGAAATGTAGGTAAAATTTAAAAATACGTATTATACATCCTACATCTTGAGACGTCTTGAGATGTTATTATTGCCAAGACATCTTAAGATCCGTGTCTATAGACACATCTTAAAGACATGTCTTCATGTCTTAAGACATGCCTCAAGATGTCCTAAGACGTCTTCATAATGTGTCTTTAGACATGTCTTAAGACATCTCAAGACATGGTGATGGCTGGGTATGAGAGTAAGTGAAAAACTGCCCCCTGCCTGTTTATATATGACACAACAGTGCTGTTGTCTGTCCTGACTAAAATGTGCTGTATGGGCAAAAAAAACTGCCAGCAGCTCCAAATAATTGATGTGGAGCGAACGCTGAGCAGGAGACCATGCCTCCTTCATTGTTGCATCACACAACGCCCCATCCGATCAGCGAACTGTCTGTCAAAATCACCTTGTGATACAGAACTCTACCTGTCGGAGAGCCTTGACACAATGAAACTGCTCCCACATTCAGGTGGTGTGAGTCTGTGTGGTTGAGCTTCTCGCAGGTGATCTGATCCATGCAGCACCTCATGCACACCTGGGGTGGAATATAGATTCCTGCGAGTATAATAGACGTGAACTCCCTCGGACAATAAAATGATTTGCAGTTTATAAAAAGTGTTTCCAGGTTAGGGCTGCATGTTTTCGTTAATACTGTGACATCTGAACACCAGCCTTGTTTGATGTAAAAGCAGATTCCACCGCCTTTCTTCTTGCCCGAGAGCTCCGCGGAGCGGTCCGCTCTGTAGAGGTTAAAGCCGTGGAGCTGGAGCGCGCTGTCCGGGGTCAACTAAGAGAGCCAAGACTCGGTGAAGCACAGCACAGCAGAGAGAGAAAAGTCCTTATTAGTTCTGTTTAGAAGGGAAAGCGCATCCAGTTTATTCCCTAAGGAGCGAAGATTCACCAAGTGAATGCTGGAGAGCGGTGTGCGAAGTCTGCTGTGTCGGAGTTTACCCAGTTTAATCCGCTTACTAAATGTCCAAAAAACATTGAGAAAGTGAAAAGTTAGGAGCAATGCCTTGTGGCATGGACTGCCTGATGTTCAGCAGATCTTCTGCACTGTATGCGAGTGAGACTGGTTCACATATAACAGTACAAACAAGCTCCCAACCTGTGTCGCCATCAGCAGCGCCATCTTGGATGAAAAATCTCTACGTTAATCATAACAATTCTTCATTAATCGTTACTCTGCCTGTCTTCAGCAGTTACACAGTTCAAACACTACCCAAAATGCGTCAAGTGCACTACCCAATGCACTGTAAATCAGGCTCACTGGAGTCCAGCAATAAAAATAATGAATTATCAGTCAAGTAAAGCATCAGCTGCAGGGTTTTCTGTTCATCAGACCACTCATATGACTTGGCTCAGTTCAAATCGTGCATATAAAGGCTCCCAGTCCACATTAACTGGAGTATTTTGGAGTTTTAATACTTGCCAATAGACACAGCTTCTGGCACCACAATTTTTATTTACATTTGCACCCAGATTTCCAACTGACATCACAGGAGCCAGGAACGCTGTGCCATGGCAGCTAGTGTTTGAGCATGCAGACTCCACCAAGCCCAGCTCTTCTTTTATCACCACTGCTCTATCACAGCACTAACAGGCAGTACAACACGCTGTGACGATCATTAAGATAAATACTTGCCGTCACACTTCTTTGTCACACAAACAGAGTGCTCTATCCTCTCTCAGTTATGTTACTGAGCAGCCAAACCATCTGAATGAATCTCCCATTGGCAGAAAATTTTACTTCTGAACACCAGTTGTAGCACTCACTGCTTAAAAGAGACACTGCTTTCATACAAGTCATGGTGCTTATTTGTTGTCGGTCAACACACAACTACATTGTGCGTAAACGACTGTGCATAAGCAAAGTCTAACAGCTCATTCTCTACATAGCTCACGCATCTCTCACACTTGCTCTCTCTGCTCACACACAAATGTACACCCCTAGCGCTGTTCCTAGCCCCTCCCTCTCTAATTAGTGTCCAAAGCAAAATAAACCAAGTGCTACAAATTCTGGAGAACACATAACCCATAACTAACATATTAAACTGATGCTACAGCCATCCCTAGCCGGGAGTCCAAGAGAGCACAATTGGCCTCGCTCTCTCTGGGTGGGTGGGATGGCTGCCCCCCTCCCCCATCACTCAGCGCGATGCTAGTCAGTGCAGGCGTCTGTTAGCTGACGTAACAGATCTGGTGGTTGGCGCTTTCCTCCGAGCGCGTTCGGCTGTCCAATGACGTTGCGTGAGCGGCAGTTCGAAAAGAAGCGGTAGCTAGTTTCACAGGTCTCGGAGGAAGCCTGTGTTAGCCTTCGCCCTCCTAGCGTTGATAGCATCGTGTGATTGGGGGAGTCCTAACTAGCGGGTGGAATTGGAGATGACTAAATTGGGGAGAAAAAAAAAAAAAAAACTATTTCTTGAAGATGCTAAAGTTGTTATTTTGAACAAAGTCACCAGATAAGCAAGAAGAATGAATACAGAAGTCAAATCAGCTTCAGAGTTTAGAGCCTGAGTAGACAAAAGAGATTGCCAGGAAGTGAGGCTTGGGCAGTTGCGAATTGAGTTGAAAATCCACATCCACAGACCATTCTGACATTGCATTGGCAGGACCAGTGCTATACAATTTGCCTCGTCATTGGGAGTTGTATAAAGTTATGGCTAATAGACAAAGGAATGATAGCCAGGAGAGATGCAGGAGATGCCATGGTTGAGTAAGACAGCAGAGAAACAGACTTGGAAAAAAATACCTGGCTACTACATTCTTGGCTGGAGATTCCCCTCTCCGCCTGCAGAGGTCACTCTCAGTTTTAATTGCTAATTGTTCACCTGAAGCTTGTTTTATCCTCACTGTCTCTACATATAGCCTGTATTTTATTAGTGTCTTTGTGAAGTCTTGCCAGATCCTACTCTGCAATTCTAAGCCTTATTACTCATTGTTTTTTGTGTTTTTATATTGACTGACCTGCTGCTTGTGTATTGTTTTTTTTTTTCTGATTTTTGGATTTCATCTTTGTTTTGGATGCCTTGGACTGTTTGTATTTTTCTCTGGGTGTAATAAAGTTAGCTCACAACTGGGTCCACTTTTTAGTCTGTTCCTTGATGTTACAGGAAACTTCACCTTAACATGGATTCAGCGAGCATAAAGAAAAGAATGACATGACAGGAACCGCGCCATAGGAAAATATCTCAGCTCTTACATTGGCTGCTACAGCTTCCCAGCCCAGGAGGTGCAGTGAACAATTGTGCTTCTACTGCGGCAATGCTGATCACATGTGCTACCTGTCCCAAACATCCCAAGTCATTTACACAACATTCTATAACAGAAATTTGTTGATTATTGCATGTGAAATGAGATTCGCTAAGAGACTGTCTATTCCCTGTCATGGCACTACTACTAAAGGCCACTACTTGTTACTAGTCATTTGCTGAGGTTTTCAGTCAAACCAAGGCAGCCCAGTTACGTCCACAAAGGCCTTGGGATTGTGTCATGTCTTGCTCCCCAATACGTCACCTTCTAGAAAAAGAATATACCCCTTTTCATTACCGTAAACCCAAGTGCTAGAGGAGTACACTGATGAGGCTCTTAAGGTATAATATATATTGTATATACCACCCTCTACATTTCCTGCCACCACTGTTTTATTTTTATAGAAAAGGAAAATGGGCATTCAAGGCCATACATAGATTACAGAGGACTTCAAACATGTCAGTCAGGTCCTGGACTGTCTACTAGACAATGGCCTACATGTTAAGGCAGAGAAGTGTTACACAAAGCAAAGATGTTGTTTCTATGCTACATTCTAGACAAGAACAGTTTGAGCATGAGTGTCAGCAAAGTACAAGTGCATGTTGTATTTGTTATTGTTCAGTGGATAGTCATTGTTTATTTGATTTAGTTTTTAACAGCTTTTTTGGGAATTTCCTTTAATAAAAAATGTGTGTAGATTAGACTCTGTTTGTGTAATTATACTATAAGCATATATAAGCTGCAGTTGTGGTGTTTACGCAGGAATATGGTGTTCCATCACCTGATTTGATGTATAAACACCTAAACATGGTGAAAGATACTGTGAGTATTTTTTGTGATGGGCTTTAATTCGATGGCAAATGTCAAAGATTTCACATTTGTCCAATCACAAGTCGTATAACTAGCACACACCTTTACGTGTTGTGTTTTCGGCTATCATGCCATCATCTTTCCTTTATGTTCTCTACAGTTTGATAACACTAACGTAACTAGCTGGTAGCTTGCTAATCTATCCAAGTAGTGTCAGATTAACACATTAAATCATTTTTTAAATTTATGAAATAATGAAAACCTGGTGTTGGTGTATAATTTCTAATGCCTAACAAGTCAATTAAGGCCTAATGAGAATTCAGTTATGAGATTTTATGAGTGGGGTATCCAATCTTTTGCATGTACTAAAATCATTTTTCTTGTTTTTCAAATGCAAATATAATTTAACTGTGCAATAATAAATGTAGATGAATGTTATTTATTATTAGTGTGTTTGTGTGTGTGTGTGTGTGTGTTTGTGTTTGTGTGTGTGTGTTTGTGTGTGTGTGTGTGTGTTTGTGTGTGTTAGTGTGTGTGCGCACGTGTGTGTGTGTGTGTGTTTGCGTCTGTGTGTGTGTGCGTGTGTGTGTTTGCGTCTGTGTGTGTGTGTGTGCGTGTGTGTGTGTGTTTGCGTCTGTGTGTGTGTGTGTTTGCGTCTGTGTGTGTGTGCGTGTGTGTGTTTGCGTCTGTGTGTGTGTGTTTGCGTCTGTGTGTGTGTGTGCGTGTGCGTGTGTGTGTTTGCGTCTGTGTGTGTGTGTGTGTGTTTGCATCTGTGTGTGTGTGTGCGTGTGTGTGTTGCGTCTGTGTGTGTGCGTGTGTGTGTGTGTGTGTTTGCGTCTGTGTGTGTGTGTTTGTGTGTGTGTGTGTGTTTGCGTCTGTGTGTGTGTTTGCGTCTGTGTGTGTGTGTGTGTGTGTGTGTGTGTGTGTGTGTGTTTGCATCTGTGTGTGTGTGTGTGTGTTTGTGTGTGTGCGCACGCGTGTGTGTGTGTGTGTGTGTGTGTGTTTGCGTCTGTGTGTGTGTGTGTGCGTGTGTGTTTGCGTCTGTGTGTGTGTGTTTGCGTCTGTGTGTGTGTTTGCGTCTGTGTGTGTGTGTGCGCGTGTGTGTGTGTGTGTGTGTTTGCATCTGTGTGTGTGTGTGTGTGTTTGTGTGTGTGCGCGCGTGTGTGTTTGCGTCTGTGTGTGTGTGTGTTTGCGTGTGTGTGTGTTTGCGTCTGTGTGTGTGTGTGTGTTTGTGTGTGTGCACGCGTGTGTGTGTTTGCGTCTGTGTGTGTGTGTGTGTTTGCGTCTGTGTGTGTGTGTGTGTGTTTGCGTCTGTGTGTGTGTGTGTGTTTGCGTCTGTGTGTGTGTGTGTTTGCGTCTGTGTAGGTGTGTGTGTGCGTGTGTGTGTGTGTGTGTTTGTGTCTGTGTGTGTGTGTGTTTGCGTCTGTGTGTGTGTGTGTGTGTGTGTGTGTGTGTGTGTACATACTGTGGGTCTTTGAGTTTGTTGTCTGCCTGTAGGAAGAGGAGGACCCTTAAAGAGAAACAGAGAAAATTAAATGTGTACTTGCATTTATTTTTCCATTGAATTAAGTGAATTTTATTTCTTTAGGTTAAGTTTATTAGATTATTTGATGGAGAATGATTTTAGGACAATGTCAATATGAAAAATGATCTCACCACTCGAGCAGCGTTTACATTCTGTTGTTTCTCTTTCTGTTGAACAGGCTGCTCCTAAACACAGAAAAAACACTTTAACTGTAATTCACAAATGTTTGATACAATAAATTTTGGTTGTCAGGAAATATTTATGACATCAGAGCAGGTTATGCGATGACTGTGGAGCAACATGATACCAGAAGGTCTTTTTAAAAGCTTTGACCAAACAAAACTTTGTGGCAAGCATAAATAAATAATACATACATACATACAAACCAAATAATCAGATTATCTGAAAGTATTAGTATCTCAAACTAACGTCTACAGCACATTATAGGTTTAGAGTAAACTTTCTTTTTCCTTAATTGGCCTGGTTTGTAAACTTGCATATAGAATCAAGTGTCTTTAAGCATTTATAATATAGTTTAATATAAAATTGAATTAATCAAGTCAATTATTTTCTCATCCATTTCATCCAGAATAAAACTGTGTTGACCTGTGGTTGTATAGATACAGAAGCAAGTTTCTAGACTATATATTTTTTAAACATGCTGTCTTGCTATAGAATGATGTGAGGTTATAGGCCATTACTGACCACAGTGCAGTCATTATCCTAGATAATCTAAAACTGTAGAGTAGAACAAAACAAAACAATGGCAGGACTGAACCTGTGGATATGAAAAAACAGTTTTTATATATTTGTTTCCTTATGCCCAGAAATAGACAGTTCACAGATAGTTACATTTATATATGAAAAGGGTATAAACTGAACTTGCTGTTCTCATTGTGATACATTCTATATGATGTAGCTGCACTTTGTGCTGTATCTTCTATGCAATGCTGCACAAATGTCCAATGTGTAGACCTCCATGAAGCTGGCCCCCATGTGGTCACAAATGGGATAAAAATACTGCTGCATTTGGCTGGTTTGTGCCATAGGAGTTTGTGCTGGCAGCGTTATTGAGAAATTAAACATTATATTTTATTACCTGTGACATCACTCAGCCCCCCAATAAGCAACTAAATCACACCAATACAGTCTCATTCATTTGTGCTTTGTTTGTGCCATTAAAAGAAATGTTGGTGCTGTTGTATTTATCAAGTTATAGGCAAAAAAATAATAATAAAATAATAATAATAATAATAATAATAATAATAATAATGTGACATCACTCAGCCCCCATCAACGTCCAAATCATGCCAAAAAGATCTCATTCCTTTGTGCTGTTAGGCTTTGTGCTCTTTTACTTCTCAAGTTATTGGATAAGCAGTTTTTGTCATAAGCTATGATCATTTACCACACAAGCAACACTAGTTGATGCTGAAGATGCTGCTGTCCCTGATCACTACAGAGATATCTGGCTTTTTCAGCTTTAATTATTCAGCTTCATAATTGGGTAGAAGTCAAGAGCTGATTAAAGTGATGATTAGAAATGACTACTTTGTCATATTTCGTTCATCTTTTAGCATTTAATCAATGCAGGCAAACTTTAGCAAGGTATTCTAAATAAATCAGCTACCCCTGCCCCTGCCTGGTGACAGGCCCAACAGATGCAGCTTCAGACTTAGCAGGCCTGTCTCTCTGCTGATACCCCTACCAATGAACCAGCCCTGTCTCCACATCCCCATATTCCAGTGAAAAAAACAGCCCTGTCTCCCCACCCCCCAGCCCTACTAAAGGACCAGCTCTGTCTTCCCACCCCCATACCCATATCAATGAACCAGACCTGTCTCCACATCCCCACAGCCCTACCAATGAACAAGCCCTGTTTCCCAGTCCCCATTGCCCTATCAAAGAACCAGCCTCCTGTGGATGAACCATCTCTGTTCCCCCCATACTCCTACCAATGAACCAGCCTTGTCTCCCCATCCCCACAGCCCTACTAAAGAACCAGCTGTCATCCCATCCCCATATGCCTACGAATGAACCAGCTTTGTCTCCTCATCCCCATTCCCCTACAGACAAACAAGCCCCTACCAATGACTGTCTCCCCATCTTCATATCCCTACCTATGAAGCAGCCGTGTCTCCCCATCCTCATACCCCTCCAGTGAACCAGTCCTATCTCCTCTTCCCCACTGCCCTATTAACAAACCAGCCCCAGTCTCCCCATGCCCATACCCCACCAATAAACCAGCCCTGTCTCCTTATCCCCATACCCCACCCACAAAAAAGCCCTGTCCCACCTTTCCCATACCCTTCCAAAGAACCAGCCCCTTATGCATGACGAGCCCTGTCTCCTATCACCCTGTCTCTACCAGTGAACCAGCTCTGTCTCCCCATCCCCATACCAATGAACCAGCCCTACTCCCGTCTGAGGAAGGAGCTGACCTGCATTGTGTTGAATCATATGTCAGTTGGGATATGTGAGTTTTGTTTTTTTTGGTTTTTTTTTGTTTTTTTTTTTGCAAAATTATATTTAGTTGTTTCAAAGTGGCCTTTACACATTTGTTATGCAGAGTATCACTGTATGCAGAATGTCGCAGTCTACATTGTATACAAAATTGGTTAAAATTTTGGGCTGATGTACAACCCCATTTCCAAAAAAGTTGGGACACTGCAAAATGTAAATAAAAACAGAATGCAATTCATTTAAAACCCATATATAAGTGAAAATAGTATAGACAATATATCAAATGGTGAAACTAAGAAATTTTATTTTCTTTTGAAAAGTATATGCCCAATTTGAAATTGATGCCAGCATCATTTTTTTTCAAAAAAGTTGGGTCAAGGGCAAAAAAAGACAAGTAAATTGTGTAATGCCAAAAAACATCCCATTATACTCCCAGTGGAGGGTTAACTAATAGGGTTAATTTAAGGGTTAAAATATTCAGAGGTAATCCAGAGAAATCTCTGTATGCAAGTGACAAGGCTGAAAACTAATAGTGGCTGGCCGTGATCTTGGGGCCTCTGGTGACACTGCATTAAAAACAGGCACTATTCTGCAGTAGAAATCACTGCAGGGGCTCAGGAACACTTCTGAAAACCACTGTCTATTATAAAGTTAAATAAAGTTAAAACTCTAAAAAGCACAGAAAAAAACACATTTAAATAGGATGCAGAAATGCCACTGCCTTGTCTGGGCTCAAGCCCATTTAAGATGATTTGAAGCAAAATGGAAAAGTGTCCTGTGGTCCGAGGTCAAAATTTAAAATTCATTTTGGTAAATCATGGACACTGTATCCTCAGGGCTAAAGAGGAGAGGGACCATTCAGCTTATTATCAGCACACAGTTCAAAAGCCAGCATCCATGATGGAATGGATGAGCATTAGTGCACATGGTATGGGTGACCTGCACACCTGTGAAGGCACCATTAATGCTGAATGATATATATACAGGTTTTGGAGCAACACATCCAGATGACGTCTTCTGCAAGGTTGGTCTCCTCAGTTCCCAAACGCTTACAGAGTGTTATTAAGAGAAGTAGTGATGCAGCACACTGGTAAACCTGCCCCTGTCCCTACTTTTTGAAATGTTTTGCTGGTATCAAATTTAAAATAGGCATATATTTTTTAAAATACATAATATTTCAACATCTGACATGTTGCCTTTATACTATTTTCAATTAGTATATTAGTAGTAAATATAAGGTTATTGATTTGCACTTTGTGTTTTTCTATTTTATTCACATTTTGCACAGCATCCCAACTTTTTGGGAAATTAGGTTGTAGAAAAGATGATGGTCACTACATGTGAATGCATACATTTTGTCAGAAAATTCATATTATGTTTAAGGAAATAACACTGGATGTATGGCTCCAGCTCCCCCCACGACCCAGAATGATAAGCGGCATAGAAGACCATGAGATGATCTGGACCTGGTTTTATGTAGTTTTATTTTTTATTTTTTCAGGCCTCTATATTTTCTCAAAAGTAATTAATCCTATTTCCAAGAGTCAAGAGAGAAAACAAATGTTTTCCTGTGAACAGTTATGTACCTATGATTAACATACAACACCATTTCCAAAAAAGTTGGGATGCTGTACAGAATGCATATAAAACTGCTATGATGTGCAAATCATGTAAACCATATTTTAATGGAAAATACTACAAAGACATCATATCAAATGTTAAAAGTGAGAAATTTTATTGTTTTTTGAAAAATATATGCCCATTTTGAATTTGATGCCAACAACACATTCCAAAAAAGTTGGGACGGGGGCCTGTTTACCACTGAGTTTCATCACCTCTTCTTTAACAGCACTCTGTAAGCGTTTGGGAACTGAGGAGACGCTGCTGTAATTTAGAAAGTGAAATGTTTTCTGTTCTTGTTTGATACAGGATTTCAGCTGCTCATCAGTTCAGGGGCTCATTTGTCATATTTTTCATTTCATAATGCAACAAATGTTTTCAGTGGTGACGGGTCTGGACTGCAGGCAGGTCAGTTTATCACAATGTGGTTTTACATAGTCTTGCAGAAATAATCAAGGCCCTACTGAAAAGACGTCGTCCCACCTGTGCCATGTGCACTAATGCCCCCTTACACTGTCATGAATACTGGCTTTTGAACTGTGCACTAATAACAAGCTGAGTGGTTTTTAGCCTGGAGGACACAGTGTCCATGATTTCCAAAAAGAATTTCAAATGTTGATTCGTCAGACCACAGGACACTTTTCCAGAAGGTGGCAGCATTTCTGGATCCTGTTTTCTTCTTTGCATTTTAGAGTTTTAATTAGCATTTGTGGATGCAGTGATGAACTGTTTTCACAGACAGCGGTTTTCAGAAGTGTTTCTGAGCCCATGCAGTGATTTCCACTACAGAATCATGTCTGTGTTTAATGCAGTGCTGCCTGAGGGCCCAAAGATCACGGCCAGCAGATACTGGTTTTTGGCCTTGTCCCTCACATACAGAGATTTCTCCAGATTCTCTGAGCCTTTTAATGATATTATGTGCCGTAGATGATGAAAAGCAAATATTCTTTGGTATTTTATGTTGAGAAGCATTATTCTTGAATTTTTGCACTATTTGCCCATTCAGTCTTTCACAGAGTAGTGAACCCCTCCTCATCTTTACTTCTGAAAGACTCCGCCACTGAGATGCTGTTTTATACCCAATCGTGTTACTAAACTGTTGCCATGTTATTCACCAGGTGTTTTTTTAGCATTACACAACTTTACCAGCCTTTTGTTGCCCCCGTCCCAAATTTCTTGGAATGTGTTGTTAGCATCAAATTCAACATGGGCATATATTTAAAAAAAAAAACAATAAAATTTCTCAGTTTCAACATTATATATGCTGTCTTTGTACTATTTGCAATGAAATTTATGGTTTAAATGATTTGTATATCATTGTATTTTGTTTATATTTACATTTTGCACAGCATCCCTTTTTGGAAAAGGGGTTGTAAAAAAAAAAAAATTTGGAGACACTTTTTAAAAACATTTAAGAAAACATTAACTGATAATTAATGGCTGTGAAAAAAATAATTAATCAGAAATTCTGAAAATTTTGAAAATTGTTCATAAATGACAGTTCATGTAGTTGTGTCTTACTGAGCAAATATAACAACATAAACAGTTAAAACATTGCAGTTAGAGTGTTGAGATTGTGTACATACCGGCCTACTTTTGCGTTTCTGGGGAGGTTGAGGTCGCTGCTGAGGAGCAGAAACCTAAAGATAGAAACAGTTTGAAAGTCACTCACAGCTTCAACAAATATATAATTTATACATGCACCTCATTAAAATATGCATTGGCCTGTTCACTCCTCAGTGTAATTAACTATATTCAATATGAGGAATGATTTTACAACAATGCAAATATGACATGAGTCTGAGGAATTTGAAACAGGAAATTAAGTCACCACTGGGGAAGTGTTAATATCCTCTTCTTTCTCTTTGTGAGGGTCAGGCTGGGCCTAAAAAGTAATAGAAGTTGATTTTACAGTAGGATTATTTTTGAAATCCAAATTATGACAAATATAAACAATAAAACGACACACAAATATTGATTTATCAAAAGTTTTATTTATTATGTTTAATTGTATTATTCAGTTTTTACTTTGAGTTTTAAATTCCTGTGGTGTGACTGGGCACTGGGCCGTGGGTCTATCATCTTATCCGAGAACATAGAGAAGGTTCTACATCAGGTTAGACTGGATGTAATGGTAGCTAAAAACAGATGGGTATGTAGTATCAACAGCAGACAGGTAAGTGCTTTTAATGCTATAGACTAAGCTTCTACTTTTCCCCCTGAGAAGCCACATAAGTTCCACCCAACTGAGGCTGTGTCTGTTCCCCAAATAAAACAAAATTTCAGAAAACCTCATAAAGTTTGTTCTACTAATGTAATGTACAGTTTATCAAACCAGTTAAATCAGGTTTCAATGACAGCACCTTTGGTCTAAAAGTAGGACTGCTTAACATAAGAGCTCTTACATCTAAGGCCGTCATTTAAACGAACTTATTACTGATCATAGACCTGATGAATATCTTGAATTCCTTTGCACTAATTACAATTTACAGGCCACCAGGGCCGAATTCTCAGTTCTTACAGGAATTCTCTGAGTTTCTAACAAGGTTAATAACATTTTCAAATAAAGTGATAATTGTCAGAGATTTTAATATCCACTGTGACAAACCTCAAGATCCACTAAGTAAGGCGTGTATATCTGTCTTAGACTCTGTAGGTTTCACCCAAATCATAAAGGGGCCCACACACTACCACAACCACACTCTAGACTTAATACTGACCTTAGGTCTAAACATAGATAACTTAGCCATTCTCCCTCAGAGCACAGCAGTCTCAGATCATTACTTAATCTCATACGAAATTTGCTTTAGTCATGATAAATGTTAATCGCTATTCTATCGTGTTAAGCAGACTATAACATCCTCTACAGCTTGTAAGTTAATCAGAAACCTCTCAGATCTATCAGCTTCCATCAGCTGCCTATCTAATCCTACCTAATTACATATCTTGACCAAGTGCTTAGAGGATACTTTTCAATCTACTCTAGATGATGAGGCTCCATTAAAAAGTAAAGCAATAAGGTGGAAAAAGCTGCCACGTGGTATAATGATCATTCTTGAGCTTTAAAACAGACTGTAAGACAATTAGAGCGAAAATGGCACCTGACTAAACTAAAAGTATAAGGCTATAATCCCTCCATTCTGCCTGGTGGGATTATAGCCTTACAGACTATAGAAGAGCATTTACTGCGGCATGTTCAGCCTCTCTATCCTCTCTCATAGAAAACAATAAGTATAATCCTAGATCCTAGTTTGTAAATGTAAACAGTTTGTCACCAGATGACAAACCTCAGCTTAATAAAATTGAGGACTCTGTAAAAAAAAAAACATAAAAGACTGGATGTCGAGTAACTTCCTCCTACTCAACTTAGACAAAACAGAGGTTCTTCTTGATCCAAAACCTGCTAGAAACAAACTGTCTAATTTAACACTTAAACTTAATAGTTTCTCAGTTGAATCAGGTACATCTGTAAAAAATCTTGGTGTCACATTAGATCGCGATTTGTCCTGATTGATCTTTGTACTATTTTCAATGAAATATAGCGTCTAAATGATTTGCACATCATTGGATTTTGTTTTTATTTACATTTTGCACCGCATCCCTTTTATGGAAATGGGGTTGTATAAAAAATATGGAGACACTTTTTAAAAACATAAAAAGACATTAACTGATAATTAATGGCTGTGAAAAAAATTAAATAATCAGAAATTGAAAATTTACAAATGTTCATAAATGACAGTTCATGTAGTTCTGTCTTACTGAGCAAATATAACAACATAAACAGTTAAAACATTGCAGTCAGAGTGTTGAGATTGTGTACATACCGGCCTACTTTTGCGTTTCTGGGGAGGTTGAGGTCGCTGCTGAGGAGCAGAAACCTAAAGATAGAAACAGTTTGAAAGTCACTCACAGCTTGAACAAATATATAATTTATACTTGAACCTCATTAAAATATGCATTGGCCTGTTCACTCCTCAGTGTAATTAACTATATTCAATATGAGGAATGATTTTACAACAATGCAAATGTGACATGAGTCTGAGGAATTCGAAACAGGAAATTAAGTCACCACTGGGGAAGTGTTAATATCCTCTTCTTTCTCTTTGTGAGGGTCAGGCTGGGCCTAAAAAGTAATAGAAGTTGATTTTACAGTAGGATTATTTTTGAAATGCAAATTATGACAAATATAAACAATGAAACGACAAACAAATATTGATTTATCAAAAGTTTTATTTATTATGTTTAATTGTATTATTCAGTTTTTACTTTGAGTTTTAAATTCCTGTGGTGTGACTGGGCACTGGGCCGTGGGTCTATCATCTTATCCGAGAACATAGAGAAGGTTCTACATCAGGTTAGACTGGATGTAATGGTAGCTAAAAACAGATGGGTATGTAGTATCAACAGCAGACAGGTAAGTGCTTTTAATGCTATAGACTATGCTTCTACTTTTCCCCTCTCTGAGAAGCTACATAAGTTCCACCCAACTGAGGCTGTGTCTGTTCCCCGAATAAAACAAAATTTCAGAAAACCTCATAAAGTTTGTTCTACTAATGTAATGTACAGTTTATCAAACCAGTTAAATCAGGTTTCAATGACAGCACCTTTGGTCTAAAAGTAGGACTGCTTAATATAAGATCTCTTACATCTAAGGCCGTCATTTAAATGAACTTATTACTGATCATAGACCTGATGAATATCTTGCTCTAACTGCACCCCCCCCCCACATACCCCAGGCTACAGTTATGCACATAGTCCTCGTTTAAGCGGCCGGGGTGGAGGTATAGCATCCATCCATACTAAAGCTTTAGGCGTGAGCCAGAAAGTAGGCTATACATTCTCTTCTTTTGAAGTTATTTTTCTTAATATAAGTGTTTGAGAAACAAATAAGAATTCCTTTGCACTAATTACAGTCTACAGGCCACCAGGGCCGAATTCTCAGTTCTTACAGGAATTCTCTGAGTTTCTAACAAGGTTAATAACATTTTCAAATAAAGTGATAATTGTCAGAGATTTTAATATCCACTGTGACAAACCTCAAGATCCACTAAGTAAGGCGTGTATATCTGTCTTAGACTCTGTAGGTTTCACCCAAATCATAAAGGGGCCCACACACTACCACAACCACACTCTAGACTTAATACTGACCTTAGGTCTAAACATAGATAACTTAGCCATTCTCCCTCAGAGCACAGCAGTCTCAGATCATTACTTAATCTCATACGAAATTTGCTTTAGTCATGATAAATGTTAATCGCTATTCTATCGTGTTAAGCAGACTATAACATCCTCTACAGCTTGTAAGTTAATCAGAAACCTCTCAGATCTATCAGCTTCCATCAGCTGCCTATCTAATCCTACCTAATTACATATCTTGACCAAGTGCTTAGAGGATACTTTTCAATCTACTCTAGATGATGAGGCTCCATTAAAAAGTAAAGCAATAAGGCGGAAAAAGCTGCCACGTGGTATAATGATCATTCTTGAGCTTTAAAACAGACTGTAAGACAATTAGAGCGAAAATGGCACCTGACTAAACTAAAAGTATAAGGCTATAATCCCTCCATTCTGCCTGGTGGGATTATAGCCTTACAGACTATAGAAGAGCATTTACTGCAGCATGTTCAGCCTCTCTATCCTCTCTCATAGAAAACAATAAGTATAATCCTAGATCCTAGTTTGTAAACGTAAACAGTTTGTCACCAGATGACAAACCTCAGCTTAATAAAATTGAGGACTCTGTAAAAAAAAAACATAAAAGACTGGATGTCGAGTAACTTCCTCCTACTCAACTTAGACAAAACAGAGGTTCTTCTTGATCCAAAACCTGCTAGAAACAAACTGTCTAATTTAACACTTAAACTTAATAGTTTCTCAGTTGAATCAGGTACATCTGTAAAAAATCTTGGTGTCACGTTAGATCGCGATTTGTCCTGATTGATCTTTGTACTATTTGCAATGAAATTTACGGTTTAAATGATTTGTATATCATTGTATTTTGTTTATATTTGCACAGCATTCCTTTTTTGGAAATGGGGTTGCATAAAAAAATATGTAAATTTATAAATGACAGTTCATGTAGTTGTGTCTTAATGAGCAAATATAACAACATAAACAGTTAAAACATTGCAGTCAGAGTGTTGAGATTGTGTACATACCGGCCTACTTTTGCGTTTCTGGGGAGGTTGAGGTCGCTGTTGAGGAGCAGAAACCTAAAGATAGAAACAGTTTGAAAGTCACTCACAGCTTGAACAAATATATAATTTATACTTGAACCTCATTAAAATATGCATTGGCCTGTTCACTCCTCAGTGTAATTAACTATATTCAATATGAGGAATGATTTTACAACAATGCAAATGTGACATGAGTCTGAGGAATTTGAAACAGGAAATTAAGTCACCACTGGGGATGTATTAATATCCTCTTCTTTCTCTTTGTGAGGATCAGGCTGGGCCTAAAAAGTAATAGAAGTTGATTTTACAGTAGGATTATTTTTGAAATCCAAATTATGACAAATATAAACAATGAAACGACAAACAAATATTGATTTATCAAAAGTTGTATTCATTATGTTTAATTGTATTATTCAATTATTTTGAGTTTTAAATTCCTGTGGTGTGACTGGGCACTGGGCCGTGGGTCTTTCACCTTATCCGAGAACATAAGGTTCTACATCAGGTTAGACTGGATGTAATGGTAGCTAAAAACAGATGGGTATGTAGTATCAACAGCAGACAGGTAAGTGCTTTTAATGCTATAGACTAAGCTTCTACTTTTCCCCCTGAGAAGCCACATAAGTTCCACCCAACTGAGGCTGTGTCTGTTCCCCAAATAAAACAAAATTTCAGAAAACCTCATAAAGTTTGTTCTACTAATGTAATGTACAGTTTATCAAACCAGTTAAATCAGTTTTCAATGACAGCACCTTTGGTCTAAAAGTAGGACTGCTTAACATAAGAGCTCTTACATCTAAGGCCGTCATTTAAACGAACTTATTACTGATCATGGTTTTGATGCATCTCCTCCCCCTTATACAAAAGCCTTAGGCATGAAACAGAAAGTAGGCTACAAATTCTCTTCTTTTGATTTTTTTTCTTAATATAAGTGATTGAGGAACAAATAAGAATTCAGTTTAACTAATTACAATCTATAGGCCGCCATCTATCAGCTTCCATCAGCTGTCGATCTAATCCTATCAAATTAGATATCTTGACCAAGTGCTTAGAAGATACTTTTCGATTACTCTAGATGATGTGGCTCCATTAAAAAGTAAAAGACTAAGGCAGAAAAAGCCTTGGTACCCCATGGTATAATGATCATACTGGAGCTTTAAAACAGACTGTAAGACAACTAGAGCGAAAATCGTGCCTGACTATACTAGTAGTGTTCCAGTCTGCCTGGAGGGATTATAGCTTTATAGACTATAGAAGAGCACTTACTGCAACATGCTCAGCGTCTCTTTCCTCTCTCATAGAAAACAATAGATTATTATTTAGCACAATTTCTAAATTGACTAAGAACCAAACAGTTACAGAACCCCAAATCCCATCAGTTTACAGCAGCAATGACTTCAACAATCAGTCAAAAAATTCCAATCCACCAGTTAAACTCTACAAACCAGCTGCCTTACAAAGCTAACCCAGGTCTCACATACAGTGTAACTTTCCTGGTCCAGATCCTACCTCATTGATCATTATCAGTTTGTTAATGCAAACAGTGAATTCTCTGTCCTCACAAAATTAAAGTATGGTGTTCCACAAGGCTTTGTTTTAGGGCCTATATTATTCACTTATTCAATTATATATGCTACCACTGGGCACAATTATCAGTATACATGGCATCAATTTCCACTGCTATGCTGATGACACACAATTGTATATATTGACCAAATCAGATGATAAACCTCAACTTAATAAAATTAAGGACTCTGTAAAAGACATTAAAGATTGGACATCAAGTAACTTCCTCCTACTCAACTTAGACAAAACAGAGGTTCTTCTTGATCCAAAAGCTGCTAGAAACAAACTAATTTAACACTTAAACTTAACAATTTCTCAGTTGCATCAGGTTCATCTGTAAAAAATCTTGGTGTCACATTAGATAGCGATTTGTACTTTGATGCATAGTCTTCCTGCATCTCCGCAATATTGCTAAATTGAGAAATGCATTATTTCTACAGGATGCAGAAAAGCTAGCTGATGCATTTGTTACTTCAAGGCTAGATTACTGCAATGCCCTGCTGGCTGGATGTCCCAGCAAAAGCCTTAACAAGCTTCAGTTGGTCCAGAATGCTGCAGCCAGAGTTCTTACTAGAACCAGAATGTTCGACCATATCAGCCCAGTTTTATCAGCCTTACACTGGTTACCAGTTAAATTTTGCATCGATTATAAAATTCTTTTACTGACCTATAAAGCACTAAACGGACTCGCCCCTCAGTACCTGAGTGAACTTCTCTCCCACTATGAACCATCACGCCTACTTAGATCACAAGGTGCTGCTCACTATTAGTACCTAGAATTAATAAAGTTACGTCAGGGGGCGGAGCTTCTCATACAAAGCCCCCCAGCTTTGGAATAATCTTCCTGTTAATGTTCAGGACTCAGACACAGCCTCAGTCTTTAAATCTAGGCTAACAATCTGTTTAGCCAAGCTTTTGGTAATTAGCCTTTCCTGATAGTTAAAGGGTACAGTTTTTGGGGGTTATTGACAGAGCACTATGGTGACTGGGAGTGTTAGTCTGTTGTCCTGCTGCTCTCATGCCTTCAATGTAATACTAACACTATTAGAGATTGCCCTACTGGAGTCTCTTTCACTCTTTTAACACTGTATACTGTAATTAGTCTGTCTTAACAGAACTAACTGCCTGTGTGTTTCTCTGCTGAGCTGAACAGCTGCCCATCCTATAGGTCTGATACTGTTGCTTCATTTGCCTTGATTGGGTGCCACTGCTATATAAATAAACTTTGACTGACATTAGTGGAAAACATCTGCTTAAAAGTCGTAATTATAGCTGTAATGGCTGTTTAGCGACCAGCCTTTAGAAGCATTACTCACATTGTTTTCCCATAAATATTTAACAGCAGCCAAAAACCTCCTCTTAGTGGATGAACAATGAATGTTTAGTACATTCTGGACGGCAGGTCACCTTGTTTACCAAGTTTACTAACACTCTGCTTTTTCTAGCCTTGAGAATTGTTTGCAACCCTTGTGGATGTTTGGTTCTCTTAGAGACCCCAGAGTGAATATCAGGGTGTAGAAGTAGTGAGGTGGTGAAGGTAGTGTGTGTAATGTACATCAATGTCAGCATCCTTTCTCAGGTTAAAGAGGTTTGCAGCTGTTTCAAGTTGACTCTTAAAATGTGGAGCATAAATTAGATAATTGCTTCTATTTGTGTGAGTGCTGGGGTGGATTATGGCAGAGCAGATGCTGTTCAACACAAGAACACAACAGATGACTATATAAGAAAGTGTGTTGTCTTTTTCAACGGATGTAAGAGAGGAATTATTAGGGAGAGCTGTCACTGTTTTGGTGTAGCACTATTGTGGGTCACCATGCTTTTGTGTAGATCAATGGAAATTAAACTCTGTTAAAGATAAAGGCTTTCTCTTTGTGTCAGAGAGAGGATTCACCTATTGCTTTTCAAAAGCACATTTTGTAAGTCGCTCTGGATAAGAACATCTGCTAAATGTGTAAATGTCGTTGGCTAAGACAAAATAGTGTTCTTTTAATTGACTTAAAATGGACTGCATTTTTTTGTTTTTGCTATACGCTGAACACATTTGGGATTGAGAACAATAGATATAAGTGATGTGATAGTGCTGCTTCTTTCAGTTTTGTGTTTTGGGGGGTTTCTCTATTCAGTCTCCTCTTCAGGAGGTGAAATGCTGCTCATTTTGGTCAAGGTCTGGTGACTTGGCTAGTCTAAAACCATCCCCCTTTGAAGTCCTTTGTTGTGTTGGCAGTATGTCTTACTCCATGATGAAGTAATGCAAATGTAGGATGTCATACGTACACAGTGATGCATCCATTTAAGCACATACATTAGGAAGTCTGTGTGTGTGTGTGTGTGTGTGTGTGTGTTTGTGTTTACATACCGGGACACTGCTCTGTCTCTGATAAGTTGGAGTTTGAGGTTGAGCAGCAAAAACCTTAAATTAGAAACAGTTTGGAAATCATCAGACTGGACAAAATATATTTTACATCACTTTAAAATTAAACAAATTATAAAATTATATAATTACTTACAGGAAATGATGTCATCCTTACATGGCCTCCATTTTTATTCTCTTCTGTCTCTTTGAGAGCTTCAGACTTCACCTAAACACACAACTCAGGCTACTATATATATATATTACATTTTAGCAGTATAAACCAGTTAATGCCCACACAAAGGTAATAACATAAAAACATAAATTTCCCAGATTCTAGTTGTTAAAAAGTGTACTCAGTCATTTTGGCTAACACAATGGTAAGTCCCAAGGCACACTGAAAGTGGTTCTAGCTATGAGGTACGGATGTGGAACTGTGGTATATAGTGTGGTATATGATTGATGTTGTCCTGTGGGCCACTATGTCAGTTGGGCCCCTGTGCAAAATGCAAGTAAAACAGAATGCAATGATTTGCAAATCATTTAAACCTTATAATTAATTGAAAATATTAAAAGAACATGTTTTCTGAAATCAATCAGAAATTTTGTTGTTTTTGGCAAAAATGCCCATTTTGGATTTCATGCCAGCAACATGTTTCAAAAAAGTTAGGACGGGGCAACAAAATACTGGTAAAGCTGTGTAATACTGAAGAAATATCTGGTGGAACATCTCATAACTAAAAACTAGTTTAATTGGCAACAGGTCAGTAACATGATTGGGTATAAAAGAGCATTTCAGAGAGGCTGAGTCTTTCAGAAGTAAAGATGAGGAGGGGTTCACCACTCTGTGAAAGACTGCATGATCAAATAATGCAACAATTAAAACGTAATGTTTCGCAACATAAAATAGCAAAGAACTTGACAATTATCATTTACGATACATAAGATCATTTAAATTTCAGAGAATCTGGAGAAATCTCTGTATGCAAGGGGCAATGTTGAAAACCAATATTTGCTGGCTGTGATCTTTGGGCCCTCAGGAAAGCAATGCTTTAAAAACAGACATGATTCTGTAGTGGAAATCACTGCATGGGCTCAGAAACACTTCTGAAAACCACTGTCTGTGAAAACAGTTCATCACTGCAGCCACAAATGCAAGTTAAAACACAAAGAAGAAACCAAATATAAACAGGATCCAGAAACGCCGCCACCTTCTCTGGGCCTGAGCTCATTTAAGGTGGACTGAGTTGAAGTCGAAAAATCAAGTTTAAAATTCTTTTTGTAAATCATGGACTCTGTGTCCTCCAGGCTAAAGAGGAGAGGGACTATCCAGCTTGTTGTCAGCGCACATTTCAACACCAGTATCCTTGATGGTATGGGGGGGCATTAGTGCACATGGCATGGGTAACTTTCACATCTGTGAGGACTCCATTAATGCTGATACAGGTTTTGGTAACATATGCTGCCATCCAGACAACGTCTTTTTCAGGGAAGGCCTTGATTATTTCAATAAGACAATGTCAAACCACATTCTGCATGTATTACAGCAGCATGGCTCTTTAGTAAAAGAGTCTGGGTGCTAAACTGGCCTGCCTGCAGTCCAGACCTGTCACCACTGAAAACATTTGGCACACTATGCAATGATAAATATGTTGAACAGCTGAAATCCTATAACAAGCAAGAATGGGAATAACATGAAAAGTATGGAGTATCCGTTTGCTCTTAAGGGAGGTCTGGGAACCCTCACACCACCACCCATTTTGGACCCTTGTGAAGTGGTCATTCCGGAATGAGGTGAAGCGCAGTTTTATTGACCATAGGGAGACTGAAACGTGGTCAGACAGCTGTTTTGCCATAATTGCTAATTAGGCCCCCTTAGTGGCTTTCTCCCCTGGACATACATTTATAAAACCCATGTGATGATATGGGCCTGTTTGTATGCAGTATTTCTTCATTTTTAGTTTTACAGGCCTTTTAGACTCTAGACTTTCTCAAAAGAGACTGATCGTATTTCCTACAAATGTGTGAACAGAGAACAGTCTGATTAACATATAAAAATAGGGTGACTCTAAAACAACTTCCTTGAAAAAATCTTTGACTGACCATTAAGGGCTATGAACAAATTACTAGTTTATCCAAAACTAAAAATTTACAAATGTTTATAAATGACAGTTCATAGTTTTGTTGGTGTTTTCATGTAGAAATATAACAAACAGTTATAAACAATGCAATATGCATAGAATGCTGAGATTGTGTACATACTGGCCTACTTTTGCGTTTCTGGGGAGGTTGAGGTCGTTGCTGAGGGGCAAAAACCTAAAGATAGATACAATTTGAAAGTCACTCTTCAGCTTCAATAAATATAGACTTTATAGTTGCACTTGATTAAAATAAGCATTGGCCTGTTCACTAACTCTTTAGTGTAACTACCAATATTTGTTATGAGGAATGATTTTAGAACAAATCAAGTACAACAATGTGACTAAGGAATTTTAAACAGGAAAATAAGTCACCACTGGGGAAGTGTTTCCATCTTCTTTCTCTTTGTGAGGATCAGGCTGGGCCTACACACAGAAAATTTAATAGAAATCTAATTAACTGTGTTTTTTTTGAAATGCAAATTATGATGAATATAAACTCTGAAAGAAACAACAAATACATGTTGATTTTTCAAGTATCAAAAAAATAAATATAGTAATTTTATTATCACACAAAGAGAAAAAGCATCGTGTAGGGTCACCAGGGCTGGTGCTGGGAGCCCCTGCTAATGAGTGTTCTGTAGTTATTGGATTTTACATTAATTATAGACGCTTTTCACACATTACATTCACTATAGTGAACATGTTAACTGGCAGTCAAGTATCTGCAGTTCAACTTTTCATACTTTCTAGAGAATTCTGTACACTGTCGCACGTGTTTTACTGACTGATGACAATAATAACTGATTGTTTGATTTCCAATTTGTGTAAAATTAATAATGCAAATGTAGGATGTCATACATACACAGTGATACATCCAATTAAACACTCACAACATTGTGTGTGTGTGTGTGTGTGTTTACATACCAGTTTGAAAATCATCAGACTGGACATAATATATTTTACATTACATTAAAATGAATCAACTTATAGAATTATATATTTACTTACAGGAAGTGATGTCATCCTTAGAGCACCATTTTTATCCTCTTCTGTCTCTTTGAGAGGTTCAGGCTTCACCTAAACACACAACTCAGGCTCACTTTTTACTCCTGATATATATTTTATATTTTAGCAGTATAAACAGGTGGGTGAAGGTCTGGTGATTGACTTGGCCAGTCTAAAAATGTCCCCTTTTTCTATGATGAAGTCCTTTGTTGTGTTGGCAGTATGTCTTGCTCCATGATGAAGTAATGCGAATGTAAGATGTCATACGTACACAGTGAAACATCAATTTAAACACACACATCAGGAAGTGTGTGTGTGTGTGTGTTTGTGTGTGTTTGTGTTTACATACCGGGACACTACTCTGTCTCTGAAAAGTTGGAGTTTGAGGTTGAGCAGCAAAATCCTTAAATTAGAAACAGTTTGAAAATCATCAGACAAAATGTATTTTACATTTAGATCACTTTAAAATTAAGCAAATTATAAATGTATATAATTACTTACAGGAAGTGATGTCATCCTTAGAGCACCATTTATATCCTCTTCTGTCTCTTTGAGAGGTTCAGACTTCACCTAAACACACAACTCAAGCTTATTTTTATACTCCTGATATATATTTTACATTTTAGCAGTATAAACTGGTTACAGTCCACACAAAGGTAGTAACACAAACACAAATTTCCCAGAACCTTGTAAGTGTACTGAGTCATTTTGGCTAACACAGTGGTAAGTCCCAAGGCACACTGAAAGTGGTTCTAGCTATGAGGTACAGATGTGGAACTATGGTACGTGGCATGGTTGTCACGTCTCCTGCCGAGGACGCCTCCCCTACTGGTTCCCTTTCACTTGCCTTCTCACTTGGGTCAACTGACTGTCTGGAAAACTCCAGTTCCCATCATTCATTCTGAGATCACATGACTCCTCCATCATCACTAGCGACCAATAAACATTAATTTCAGCACTCTACCTCGCCTGAGTTCTGAGTGTACACACCTGTTTTCCATTACTTGTAATCAGTTAGTTTGTATATAAGCCCGGGCTTTAGTTTAGAGCTTTTTAATGTATTGCCAACAGTACCTGTTGCATATTGAGTGATCCTTGTCTGCAAGCCTAAACTGTGTATGACCTGTATTTTTTATTTATTTTTTTTGAATTTGCCTTTTTGTGTTTGCCCTTTTGGTTTGATTGCTGCACATTTATTAATCTCTCTTTTTTTTTACTTGGTCTGGTTACTGGATTCTCTCTGGATGCCCCCTTGGTTTGGTTATTGTGCTCTCTGGTCTTGACCCTGCCCTTTTCTGATTATGCTCTTTGTGAAACTTCAAAGCTCTCAGGTAAACAACAACCTTGTCTTAATCTGCAAGCGTCTGGACTCTGGTCTGTGATGCTGGTTGTCATGGTAATGTCTGCACTAAGTGGTGTTCTAAGCATATGCATAATTTTTGATCGGATTACTTGTGAGAATGAAAACAGACTTTCATCAGATTGTTGAATGAAGTGAGATATAAACACCTCAGTCTTAATCTATAATTGGACTGTATTTAATCAGGTTGGAAAAAATCTAAACATTTAAAGATAGCCACTGATGTGTCTTCTAGCAGGAAGAATTATGTCTTTTTGCTTTGTGACTGCAACTTCCTGTGAGTCAGGTACACAGCTGTGGTTTTGCTCTTTTTGTACCTCCTGCTTGCTGTACTCTGGAGTTTCACGCATGCATTTTCAGAGGTAAGCCATGAAAATAAGCACAAGGATCAATTTCACATTTGCAAACTGAAATAATGATACACCAGCTTACAAATCCAATACATACTGCTCCTTAACAGTATTAACATCTAACAAGTGTGACTATATTGACTTGGTGAAGCATTTAAAATGTACATGAAACTTTTCTAGCGGTGCATTATAGCTAGCAAGTAATACACATCTTGTAAACCCTATTATTTACTGCTATATATATTCTTTTTGCTCTATTAGAGAAAACATGCAGCTGCTACAACGTATTAGAGTACTGAAAGTACTGTCTGTATGTCGGTGTCTTGCAATCACTGTTTATTTCTCTTAATGTTATCAATGTTCTGAGCTAAAAAAAAAAAACAGAGAAAAGAGCTTCCCTCACTTTATCACCATGCTGCTCTAGCTTTTAAAAAGCTATTTATTTTCATGTAATAGCTGCAAATAATCAGTTATTTATGTGTTGTCTGATAAACATATGTGTTGTTTGATAATTGCAGAAAAAAAGTTGCACGACAGAGGGAGGGAGAACAAAAGACTGCCAGGGAAGTTTTATAGCACAAGGCAATAAACAACATAATGCCAAACAGAGCTCCCCAAAGATGATAACAATATTAGACTGATAGTTCTTTATCTAATGATTTCTTTTATTTTACAGCAAATAAAAGTATTATTCCTTTTACTTTATTCACTCCATTTGTTTACTTTCTTTCATTTTGAGCTGTTTGGTCATTTTTCATTTGTCTTTTTTCCCAGCTCTGCTTCTTTTTTGCTTTGAGCTGTTCTTTTCTGTCAAGACAACAGGCAGCAATTCGGTGAGGATAGATCTTGAGAGGCTTGAGAAACAGAGAGAAGCGAGCAATGAATTCTCTTGTCTCCATGCAGGTTACTGGCAGAGTTGGTTGTAAGAGTATTCATACAAAGACTGAGTGAGATTGGAATTAAGTATTGCTCTTATATAGACCATGCCACAGTGGACCTCCCTTGAGCTCTGGACTAGACCCTTACTGGACCACCTCTCTGAGGAACGATCATGCCTAAAGGCACTAATGAGCTCAGGACCCAGGTCACAAAGCACAGGCACTCACAAGTGCTGTTCAGAGCTGAACCTCTCCCAGTCGACCAGGTTTTGAGTTCCACTCTGGACCCAGAGCACATCAATGAGATGGGGGACCCAGGGTTGGGGCAAGAGTGTTATGGAGGACTGGCTTCAGGCTTGATAAGTGAAATGTGGAGTTAATGCACATGGTGCACAGAAGGAACAGCTGGTAGTAAATTGGATTTTTTGTGGTGAGGCACAGTGGTGTAACTGTCCCTTGGGGCCAGATCTCTGGAAAAAGATGGCTCTTACAGAAATGTCTGAGGCATCGACCTCATCCAGAAAGAGGAGCTGTAGCACTGGATGCATAGACAGCCAATGTTTAAGTTCCTCAAATGATTTCTGGGCTTTTTGTGTCGAATGAAACCCTTCATGGCCTTGTTGAGGGCAGTTAAAAGTGCAGCCACCATGCCAAAATTCTGGACAAACTAAATAAATTGGTGAAGCCCACAAAATTCTGCACAAGGTGCCAGGATGTGGGATGTGGCCACTTCATAACTGCCTTGGTCTTGGCTGGATCCATACACGGCTAGCCCTGGGAGACAACAAAACCCAGGCAAGCCACCAATCATGCATGGGATGATCCAAGGAGACAAAGTGTAGGCCTAGGTTCTGGAAAGGACCATGTCAAAGCTCTGAGATGTTTTTCCCGCTGGAGAACCCAGGAAACAGAGATGTTCATCTAAGCTTAGGGGAGTCCATCATGGGCCTCCCCTCCTTTGGTTGACCTTGGCTTTTCCCTGGAGCTTGGGTCATGAGGCACACAGATGACCAGACAGACCACCAGATAAACACTAGCCTTCTCTTTCACATGCCTCTTGCTCTCTAACACTTAGTTTGGTGTACCCCAGCTATATAGGCTTGACTTCAACCAGGTCTGCTAAGTGGGTTGTGGCAGGTGGAACTAAGGGAATATTCTGGGAGTGCTCTGCCTCTCAGCACCAGCTCCTGTTAGTGACTGTACAGCCAAAGGAGAGCTCAATAAGACTCTCTATAGGCAATGAAGGCTCTCTAGGGGGCTCAGGAAGCTGGTTCATCCTTGAGTCCCTCATATAGGACTTGATGATAGCAGCACTTATGGCAACCTGAATTCCAATAACTCTCAGCTGCTAAAGTGTGGAACTCAATAGTGTAGTCCACCAGTGACCTCCTTCCCTGACATTTGCAAAGGCGGTGAGAACCAGACTCCCCACTCCAGACTGGGTTTTTCAAAAGCACAGTGCAATACTGCCATAAACCATGTCAGAGACACACATGTTAGGCTGGTTCTCTGACACAGGCATTGCTCAAGCAAGGGCACACTCAGACAACAATGAAATGATGCAAACAACCTTTGCCTGTTCCATAGGGAACCAGGAAAATTGATGTTCAAGGAGACATTGAAGTAGAAACAGACTGTGCCACAAGTGTAGTGGATCTCTCTAGATTAGGAGCAGCCTTGCATTGCCCTCTGGTGTCTGATGTGGGTCAAGCTCCAGACCAGGCCCTTACACACTGCTGGTGAGCAAAGAAACCCTGTAATTAACGAGATGTCCCTGAGATGTTTTATACAATGGATGGTTAAATGACTGTTCACTGAGAGTCAATTGTGAAAAATGATAAATAAATGACAACAATTCTAACTACAGCCTTTAAGTTATACAATTCTTCATCTGTTAAACCCCACTGCTGGTACAGCTTTATCAATTTACTCCACTAGCTAGCAAGCAAAAGGCTACACAGCTAGCAATGACAAAAATAAAGGGACTGCATCCAAGTTTACAGTCAGATAAAATGATTATAATTCTCAAAAATATTTTGCATTACAGTGTTTGTATGGCCGGCTGATTAGCTCACTAGGGCTGAGAACTGAGAGTGGACTCTTGTGTAACATGGTTGTGATGCACTTCTGGGTAGTGAGTGGAAGTTGGTGACAGCATATTAAAGAGTTTTAAACAGGACCTTCAATTTAATTATGAAATTTATTTGTATGTTTTCATATGGGTATAGATGTTTGTGATAGTGTTAAATTGTGTTTAATTCTGACGGTCAGACACACTAATGCTATTTTCCAGTAGTGTTTTAATGGAATTTTAAGTATTATGTTAGAGCCATGTTAGTAATGGTGTCATAGCAGCTGAACATGGACATTTGAAACTTGCAGTAGCAGATATTCAGGCAAGTTATATTTTATAATTTGCATGTTCTTCTTTCACAGAGTTCTTCAGTAAATATTTTTATTTAATCCTGTTCTGTTTGTGTTGTGGCTGATAAAGAATGAAATCTTGCTGTGAAATATACTGTGGTTATTCTGTTAGCCTGCTCTAGCTGTTTGCAAATCATGTGAATCAACATTTAAACATTTAAGTGACAATAATAGCTAAACAGCTCATTTCACTGATTGAGTGCGGAATCTGACATGATGACAGTGTGAGTTATTGGTAGGAGTTATTTTTCACTCCCTCACCCACCACCCCGCTCCAATATCAGAACCAGGCGAGTCTGTGTGTGTACATGTACATACTGGTTCTCTGTTTCCATCAGGAATCTGAGCCCCAGGCTGAGCAGCAGAACTCTAAAAGTAAAAACAGATGTAAAATCATACAAAAATTCAAGACATTAATATTTAAAGATTTAAAAGTGCCTGAACAGGAAAAAAACATGAAATGATGTTACCTTCTGAAGAGAATCCGTATCATAATTTTTCTCTTTAACAGGAACAAACTTTCCCTGAACATTAAAAATATATATATCATTATAGTCATAACTAATGGTGACAAAAATTTAAAATTCTAACCTTTCCATAGCAAAGCATTGTAGACACATTTTATCAAAATCAAAATTTCTTTAAGGCAATGGGAGCAAAAAAAAACCCACTTTGGCGATTATATATGTTACAAGTCACAAAACAAATACACACAAGATCTATAAAATGATAAAAATGAAAAAACTATCAGTTCATTTCTAATGTAAGCCTGTATGGCTAGCGCCATATGAGAATTGAACCTTGGTCTCCAGAACCAGAGGACATGGTGCTGCAGGGCAAGCCACCTAGACCCAAATGCAGAGCTGAACTCAGGAGCCTGTTATGATAATAAAATAGACAGGCTAGCCAGGACTATTTGAAAGGGGATAAACTCAAACACTCTCTTACAACTTAAAACTGGGAGAGTCTCCCAGAGGCCAATTTGAACCTACAATTTAGAGATTCACAGGGTGGGTGGGGAGCAGGGGGGGCAGCCTTGTGTCAGCAAACTACAAAGAGAACCCAAGAATGAGCACCCAGAAAGGAGAGGTCCCCTTAAGTAGGGGAGGCACATGTGGTGTTAGTTAGACTAGGTCTCCTTCTGGTGGCCTAGTAGGTGGGGCAAAACGTAAAACTGTTCTAAATTAAAGATATTATTATCCTGTTCTATTCAATGTCTATCACATTTCTATAATCTTTATGAATGAAACAATAAAATACTGTAATAAGTCCTGTTAATAATAAGTCTATTTTATATGTTGTACATTTTGAATATTGAAGTTTTTACAATCTTTATCGGAGGGAACGGTCCTTGACCACAGCTGTCCCAGTCCAGCAGGAGAGGTGGATTATGTAAAGCCATCAAACAGCCAGTCTTGTAGCAATCATCAATCATCGGGTACAAAGCCTCCGGAACGTCCTGCAACTGTTCAAAACGGTCTCTGAAAAAACACCTTTTAAAATGTTTTCAGTTCAAATGATAAAACACAAAATACATTCTTAATAAAGAAAAGCATCATTAATATTCAGACAGAACATTAAACATAGACATTAAAATACTCTTTCAAAATTTAGAGCTGAGACCTGAGAAACATTTAGTTTCATATCTTAGATTTCTTAGTTAGAATTAAACAGCAGCGATGATCTAAACACACAACTGAGCATTTAAATTAGAGCCTCTAATTTAAGTAGCTGAAAGTTCATGTCTGTGATTGACTGCAACATTTATTGGGTTTAGTTTTATGTTTCTTGTCGTGTGTGTGTGTGTGTATATATAGTAATGTTAATACTCTAGTCTGACTCTGCCCTGACTCCACTCTGACTCTGCCCTGACTCTATACTGAATCAACTCTGAATCCACTCTGACTCCTCACTGACTCAACTCTAATTCTACACTGACTTTTCTCTTGTTCCACTTTGACTCCGCTCTGACCCTCAAATCTGTATTTATGTTTGTTGTTTCTTTTATGAAGATGCTGTGTATTTCTGAACTCTTTTTTTCTTTCTTTTTCATAGCTTTCTGTATTTTCTGTAGGACTTTAATGAAGCAAATGTCCAGTGACTGTGGATTATTAACATTTCAACAAGAATGTTAAATTGTTTTACAGAAGATACATTTAATATTCCAGAACTGAGACTCCAAACATAATTACTGCTGAGGTCAAGAATAAATGTGTTCAATTTAACAAATGTATTAATGTATAATGTGTATGTTTATATGCTATGTAAATAATATGTACAACCCAATTCCAGAAAAGTTGGGAGGCTGTGTAAGATGTAAATAAATATAAATAAAAAATGAACGCAATGACTTTCAAATCTCATACACCCATATTTTATTCACAATAGAACGCAGAACACATCAAATCAAATGTTAAAAGTGAGACATTTTACTATTTCATGAAAAACATTATGTATTTAGTCATTTTTTCACTTGATGGCAGCAGCGCATCTCAAAAAAGTTGGGACACGGCCGTGTCTACCATTGAGTAGCTTCCCCTCTTCTTTAACAATAGTCTGTAAATGTCTGGGAATTGAGGAGACCAGTGGCTGGAGTTTTGTGAGAGGAATGTTGCCCTAGTCTTGTCTGATGTAGGATTCTAGCTGCTCAACAGTCCTGGGTCTTCTTTGGATCTTCTTTGCCTGATTTCTTGTTTCATGATGCGCTAAATGTTTCTATTGGTGAAAGGTCTGGACTGCAGGCAGGTCAGTTCAACACCCGGGCTCTTCTTCTGTGAAGCCATGCTGTTGTGATGGATGCAATATGTGGTTTATTGTCCTGCTGAAAGATGCATGGCCTTCCCTGAAAGAGAAATTGTCTGTATTGGAGCGTATGTGGTTCTGATAACTCTATATACTGTTCAGCATTGATAGATCCTTTTCAGTTGTGTAAGCTGCCCACACCACAGCCACTAATGCAGCCCCAAAACATCAGAGAAGCAGGCTTTTGAACTGTGCGCTGATAACAAGCTGGATGGTCTGTCTCCTCTTGAGCCCGCAGGACATTGTGTCTGTAGTTTCCAAAAAGAATTTCACATTTTGATTCATCTGACCACAGAAGAATTTTCCATTTTGCCTCAGGTCATGTTAAATGAGCTTTGGCCCAGAGAAGACGGCGGCATTTCTGGATCATGTTGATGTGGCTTCTTCTTTACATGATACAGCTTTTACTTACATTTGTGGATTGTTGGAGTGTTCACAGACAGTGATTTCTGGAAGTGTTTCTGAGCCCATGCAGTGATTTACAGTACAGAATCAGTTTTCAATGCAGTGCTGCCTGAGGGCCCGAAGATCGTAAGCATCCGATATTGACAGTTGGCCTTGTCCCTTGCGTACAGGGATTTCTCCAGATTCTCTGAATCTTTTCATGATATTATGTACTGTAAAAGGAGGGGTTTCCAAAGTCTTCGCAAATTTATGTTGAACATTTTTTCTGAAATTGTTCCACAATCTTTAGACACAATTTTTCACAGATTGTGGAAGCTCTGCCCACCTTTGCTTCTGAGACACTCTGCCTCTCTAAAATGCTCTTTTTATACTCAGCCAGCTGTTTTTTTTATCAGTACCACGTACTTTTCCAGCCTTTTGTTGCCCCTGTCCCAACTTTTTTTGAGTTCCAAACAAGTTAATGTTAAAATGAGTTAATGTAAAATGTCTCACTTTCATCATCTGATATGTTCTATGTTCTAATTTGAATAAAATGTTTTTATTTACATTTATTTACATTTAACACAGCATCCCAAATTTTATAGAATTTGGTTTGCAGATATTTTACATACAATGTACGTATGATGTGTATACTGTATATACAATGGGTATTATGTGTATATAATGTAAATATAATGCATGTATAACGTACCTTATCTATGTTGTAGAGTTGCATCTTTTCCTGATAGATTGCTATCTGAAGATTTTGGACAGCCAAATCAAAGTACTGTGTTGTCTTTAAAAGAAATAAATAAACATTTAAAAATAAAAGTTTATTTAAGCACAATCATTCATTTTTAAAGTAAATTGATATTACAGCACTGTACCTTATTGGAAGGATCTTGGCTGCCCGGTGTGAGGCACAACATTGTGCCTGTGATGTTTTGAATATCATGTTGTGATTCACGCAGAACAGCCTTAAAGAAGAAGATTTAATATTTAACCTGATACTCTATTAATTGCACTACAGGAACTTTCATAAATCTGTCTTTACATCTGTGCTACCAGATCAGTTCTACCAGACGAATTGTGAAATAAACTCTGAGTCTGTTCTACAGTTTCTCATTAGGCTGAATGAATAACCGACTCTAAACGTAAGTATTGTGATATAAACTGAGTCATGGTCTCATTAGGTTTAAGCTCTGTAATGTTTGTCCAGTCCTACAACAGCAGTTACAAAAGAGTGTATTTGCATATTCTCACCTGGATCACGTCCTCTGCCTTCTTCCTGTTCTCTTTTATTTTTTCTTTGGTCATTTCAGGTCCTCCTGTCTTTAGCTGCCGCAGAAGTTTTGCCCATTGATTCTTGCTTAATTTCTCATACATATGTTTCAGTTCAGATTCTCTGCAGGGGTTAGTGAGGTCTTCAGACAAAACCCCACTACTTCCTAATTTCAGGTCCACTACTTTCCCCATTCTTAAAAAAAATTAAAAACACAGAAATACATTTTTGTCTGAAGGTTTTATGTTAATATCTGAGTTATTAAGTATGTAGATAAATTAATCCACCACCATACCTTTCTTTGAAGTTGTGCAATTCATTTTGGCTGTCCTGAAGTTGCATTCTGTTTAATTTAGTTAAATATGAAGTTATAAGAAATTAATTATGAAATTAAAAGTATTCTTAAAATATTTTCTTGTTTTGAATCACAGTTCTTCAAGGATCACAGAGGTTTACCACAATCCACTATATCTTTCTTATATCTCACAGGCCTTCTTGATGGAAACTGGATTCCCTAAGTTTCCATCTTGACTCCACCCTCTCCTGACTCTGCCCTTATCCAACTCTGCCTCATCCTGATTCTGCCTCATCCTAACTCCATTCTGTCCTGACTCAGCTGTCTCCTGACTCCATCTTCTACTGACTTTCCTAATGTCTATATAAGCTCTTAATCAATAATTGTATAGATAATTAAGATATAATTGTTAGAGAGTTTTGATTTTAAACTGATGCTGAGATGTTCAAAATATTATAAAACTCCATCTGTCATAAATATTAATCATACCATCTTCACACTGAAAATGAGCTTCAAAGCATGATTGAAAAGTCACCTCAGCTTACAGACTTTTTAAACATCACTGAGGTTCATTTTCTCTGTATAGTAATGTAGTGTTTCATTCAAAACAGTAAAAATGCAATTAACATCCAATCATATTTTAATTTTGGTTACAACACAGATTGGATTAATTTTGTTATGATTCACTGCAAAATTTCTTACCTTAATTTGTTGATTTCTAATTTGAGGTTCCCATTCTCTTGTCTAGGTGTGATAAAAAAAACTAAATTTAATAGAACGTTAGAAAAAAGTAACACATAACAAATTCTTAGTTATTGAATTTTCTTACCTTAAATCTTCAATTTCTTTGTGATTCTCATTCTTCCATCTAAGTAAAATGGAAAAAAGAGAAATAGAACTGTTATGTTTCATTAAAATCATTCACAGTACCAATTAAGCTTTTCATGATTATCGGTTCTTTAAGATGTTTTCCATGACTGGTACAGAATCTTCTGTGAAAGTCACTGTGAGGACCATAATTCAGAGTGATAATTACACAAAGTTAGAAATACTCACTATTAAATACTCACTACTATAAACTAGACTCACTGCTAGTTTAAAATTAGAATGTGGTCACATGATGTTATGAATTTCTCTTATTTCCATAATCAATTCTCACTAAAATACAAATTTTGTAATGCATTTCTTGTTTATGAAGCTGTTTAGAGATTTAGCATCAGTTTTATTTCTCTTTGTATATGTGCCATGGAATTCTGTATTTCGTGTGTTTACATTTCCAAGCATTTATACAAATGTATTTGAGAACAGTATCAGTTATTGAAACAACTAAAAACACATGTTGTCAGAACACTGTGTTTAATACATTCATTGCCACCAGATGGCAATCTTTTATTTGGATTAACACATGAAACCTCTAGTAAGAAATATTTGAAGAAATTGAACATAAGTAAGACTATCCATCTTTCAGCATGGTCAAAAAACCTTGCTCCCTTTACTGAGTGCAATTATTATTCTTCCTCTTCAGAAGGTTTTTTAAACAGGAATGTACGCTAGTTGCCTGCTTACAAAATTAGAGATTTGAGTGCAGACATTTGCAAACATGCGTGGCGCTATGAAATTAGTCTTATGTTCCTATTTTTTTAGAGTTTGGATAGAGTTTGAACAAATTACATAAGTTGACATTTTATTGTGTGTCACTGAAAGAGAGGAAACCCACACTGGATCTCAGGACAGCAGATGTTTTCAATAAGTTTCAATCAATCAATGAATCAATCAATAAATAAATAAACACATAAATAAATAAACAGACTAATGCCATGATTCCAAACAATCTGGGAAGGGTTTAGTGATACTCTGTATTAATAGTCAATTCTGACAACATATTTACTAGGGAATTAATCTCTATCTTATCAGAGTTGAGTTTGAGAAAAGGACCCACTGGAAGGTTTAGCTTCTACTGTGCACAGCATTGTTGTACAAACATGATCTACATGTAAGGTTACCTTACCTGCTACCTCATCACAAAAGTCAACATCTTAAATATGCCAAAAACATTCAGATAAACCTTTTTGTCATTTTGATTGTTGACGTGAAAATGGAATTTCTGTTACTTCACAGAAACTCAGCAGGCTGAACTCACAGCCCAATGTGGCCCCTGTGCTGAAGCTCCTACATTCCAAGCCCCCTAGTAGAGTACCATCTGCCTGCCTCTAAAAGGTATGACACATTCTGTTCCAGTGCACCCTATCCTTTGATGTTCCCCTCTGAACTCTCCAAAGTAGCATATGTCATCTTGCTACGTACAGGTAGAGCCCTTGCTTATGCCACTCCTGTCTGAGAGAACAAGCCCATCATGTCTGTCTCCTCAGACCTGTTTGTGGCTGCAATGCATTATGCAGTTGAGTTCTGCAGTCCGGCTTCATAAAAAGGCTGGAATGTGGAGGTGCTAATGGCTTCCAGTAAGGCATAAGTGATGAGATCAAGGGTGAGCGGGACACTCAAGAACTGCCCTCCACTCTCAAGAACCTAATCGAGCAGATCCTTAAGCTGTACAACCAGGGAGTGGAAAACATTGCATACCCCCAAACCAGTTTCAACCATCATGGCCATGGCCAATCTCTTGGTTCTAGAAAAGTCACTCAGTAGATTTGGCTCCCAATGTTATTACTGGGTCAGTTTGTTGAAAAAATTTTAATGCTGCTCTTTCAGGCTCTTCAGACTGTGTCAAAGACCTTCGGCTGGATACCACCCATCCTCAAGCAGCCTGTTTACTCTTTCTTGTGCAGAGCAGACAGCCATGAAAGAGAATAATTGGGGAGGGATTTTCACTGAGGTTAAATATGGACTTCCAACTCACCAGCTGTAGTAGAAGGATTGGGGCTTTTGTCTCTGCTTAGACCTCCCAGGCCTAGGCAGTTAAGGACTACCCCTGCCGCTCATGACCTTGGCCTATAGGGCATTGCTGCACGCTTCAGTTTTTAACAAGCTGGACCAGGGCAGTGCCTACAGTCTTATTTGTGTTTAGCACGTGGATGAATGGAGAGAAGCATTTATCACCCTCTTAGGCTACTACAAATATCTGGTCATGCCCTTTGGGCTAAAGAATGCATCTATTTGAAATGTCATCCACCTCTCTTTTTGTGAACCATGTTTACTGTAGGAAAAATGAAGATGACGATAGGAAAAAAGGGGGTAAGACGTCCCCCTGATGAATCTTAAATCATTTCTCATCTATGTTTTACAGGATGAGTAATTTGTCATCATTTCCAATCATTGTATTTTTTTATTTTTTTTTTTTAGAAATGATTAATCAAATTACAGCATGAAAAATATTTAAAATGAAATCAAAGCTGATCAATTTATGCCTTAATGACTCCTTCATTTTAACAAGCTGAATTGGCAGAAACAAATCACAGCAAATTAGAAACACTTGAAATGTAAATTCATTTATTAGTTATTGTAATGATATAAATTACATGATGGCATTATCTTCATTATTTCTAATGATTGTGTACTGTACAAATTAAAACAATAATAATTTAAACTAATATAGGGGTTGACTTAAATTTGATTTTGATAATGATTCCTAATTCTAGGTAAAAATCATTATAGCTAGCATACAATACTAATTCTCACTAGCAAGTATGGTGAAGAGCTTTGTGGATTCATGAAGGCTAAACAACAGGGTAATCACTAAGGTACTATGCTAAAGGGGAGCTTTAAATTTGAAATTTTCACTTCAAAGAATAAGGCATATTTTCCCCGCAATACTAAATTTCTTTCTCTCTGCACAACACCTCACTACAATAATTTGTTTTAAACAAACAAATAAACAAATAAATAAATAAATAAATAAATAACTATTCTTGTACAAATGCTCAACTATATATGTAAATATATAGATCACAATTATTCTAAGACAAAAATATATGAGCTGACTCAGGCCCATTATGTGACCAGTAGAGAAACGTAGAGGTGGGGAATTCGTTCTAATAAACTAAATAAATAAATAAATAAATGAGTAAACCATTAGAACCATTGAAAGAAACCATCAATATTTTCTGGCACCATGTCAAAACATGTTCACTGAACTAGGTAGATTGAAATATAGAAGTTTTATAAAGAAGTTGACATTCTGTAAACTGACACACTGCCTCATAAATTACAGAGCACATCACCGCTGTTTTGCAGTATTCACTGAGCAACTGATACCGTCCCAACAGAACATGCATTTAATTGAAACATTAGCAACAATAAGTCTCTCTTTTGATGTAGCTGCCTCCATTTTGTCTTTACCTGTCTACAAAGCAGTTTTTACCTTTCAGAGGTGATGTCAAACTGATGTGCCATGCTAAGAAAAACAAAGAAACAATAGATTAGTGACATATACTTTCAGTATTGAAGAGAACCGGTTTAGAGACACGTTTAAAGGCTCACAGCCAGAGAAACATTCCACAATGTGTAGACAACAGATACGTAGCACAAGATTACAACAGAAGAAACTGCTGCTTCATGGGTTTAACAAAAATAAATTATATTAAAAAATCAAATTGATGTAACATTATATGCTACAAACAGCCAATTAAAGTTTAATATGACTAAAAATAGACTGCATATCTTCAATTATGATTAACAACAGAAATTGCATCATCATTTCACTTTCTGACGGTAGCCCCTCAGTCTTAAAGACCAGTGTTAGGTTTTTGTGTTTGTTTTTTATATAAATATCTAATAAATTAATGTAAAAAAGAGCAATAACTTTAAATCCTTACCTGAGGAGAGTTTCAAGCTGAAAAGGCAAGGACTGGAAAGTTTAGTGAAGGAATGAGGGCACTACTGGTCCTTTTGTACCCAGGGAACGCCTAGTTTTGCTGTGGGCTGGACTGAGAGAAGTGAAAGTAAACTCTGCTCTTATAAAAGTGAGCTTGTTTCTTTTTCCCCATTGACTGCTCTGAATCCTGACAGGAGCGTTTCTCTGCTGTTAGAGAAATGGAAGATTCGTTAGTTTATATCGCTATAGATTTTGGCACAGCGTTTACCGGTTACTGCTTCAAGTTTATAGAATCAAAACAGATTCGGCAGCCTAAATGGGGTGAAGAGTACGGTCTGAACACTCCAAAAACACCTACCTGCATTTTGTTCGATGAAGATGAAAACTTTCTAAAGTTTGGCTATGATGCCGTCATGGCATACACTAGACAGATCCGGAAAAATGAAGCAAAGAAGCTTCTCCTCTTTGACAACTTCAAAATGGAGCTTTTTGGCAAGGTAGGATTTATTTAGGTACATATTTGTTACTGTTTCATATTTATAACTAAATGAACAGGTGGTCATCCACAGTTTCTGTATTTATTTCTCAGGAATTACACAGAGACTTTATGATGACTGCCAAAAACGGGGAAAAAATGAGAGCTATGAAAGTGTTCTCTGAGAGCCTGAAATTCATGAAAGATCACGCCCTGGATATGATTCAAAGGCACACATCTGGAGTAAAGTACTCTGTCTCTGATGCTACGTGGGTTTTGACAGTTCCAGCCATTTGGAGTGCAGCAGCTAAACAGTTTATGAGAGAAGCAGCTACAGAGGTGAGTGTGATGATATAATGTAACACTTGATATTAAAACTACTGTGATTTTGGCTATAGTATCCAGCATTACCCCAGATTATGAAGAGTAATGTGTGAAATGTTTGTTTAGGCTGGTCTGGTGTCCGAATCTGAGCCTGAAAGACTGGTCATAGCTCTGGAACCAGAAGCTGCATCTGTGTGGTGTAAACAGCTCCCAAAAGAAGGGTTTATGGAAGGAAATCTTACAGAAGAAGAGACAATAGAACAAGTTCCAGGAACACAGTACATGGTGGTGGACTGTGGAGGTAGATACCAAACTGTTTTGCACATAAAACTCCACACTTCACAATATAACAATACATTTTTTTAGAGCAAGTTATTAATTTAATACGTTTATATAAAATAAATTAATAACTTGCTATAGGTTTTCATTCCAACAAAGCAGAAGAATGCCTGACCAAAAGTTTGAAGACTAAGACCAACTGATTAAACAAGTGAAATCAGGATTCAGGTCTGCTTACAATGAAACACTGCAGCCTTGTGTGTAAGACTGGACAACCCTGATCTGTTGTTCAGACATAAGACTTACAGGATTAATTTTACCAGTGAAATGTGGTGTTTGTTTGTTTTTGGTGATTCTGACCTGTTATACTTTCTCATTTTAGGTGGAACCATTGACATCACAGTGCATGAGGTGGTGGAGGGGGGTCGTCTAAAGGAGCTGCACAGGGTATCAGGAAATAACATGGGGGGACAGACAGTGGACAAGAACTTCAAATCATTCATCAGAGAGAGCTTCTCTGAAAAAGTGTTTGATGAGTTTGAGAAAAACTATCCCAGTGAGCTGCAGCGGTTGATGTATGATTTTTCCATCTGTAAACGTTATGATGGAGAGGTGTTGGTGCAGTGTCCATTTAGTTTACAACAGATAGCCAGTAAAGAAGATGACATAGAAAATTATTTTGAGGGAAACAGTGATGCTGAATGGGAAAGTGGACATATACTTCTCTTAGGGGCAAAGCTGAGAGCTCTACATGAGGATAGTATCAGGGGCATAGAAAACCTGATGAAAGAAATTCTGAAAAAACCCACACTGAACATCAGACACATCTTCTTAGTTGGAGGCTTTGCCCTGAGTCCTTACGTGAACAGGTTTGTCAAAGAGAAGTTTGGGTCGAAGTATAAGGTGCTCTGCCCTGTAGATGCTCAGATGGCCGTTGTGAACGGAGCTGTTATGTTTGGCATGATGCCGAATGTGGTGGAATCACGGATCAGTGTTTTCACTTACGGGATCGCAGTTGTGCACTTTTTTGATAAGATCAAACACAAGGGCAAGAGCAAATATGTCAGTAAGGATGGAGTTCAGTTCTGTGATGTTTGCTTTCACTGCCTAGTGAACAAGAACGAGTCAGTTCCTTTTGATGAAGCTGAACAGTACATATTTAATGCACTTGAGATAGACCAAAGAGAAATGCACTTCAGTTTTTACTGCACTGAGAAGGAAACCGCTGAGTTTATAGATGAGGAGGGAATGATGAAGATCGGATCTTTAGCAGTGTCAATGCCAAAGATCTCACAGGGCAGGAATCGTTCAGTAGTCCTTGAAATCAAGTTTGGTTTCACTGAGATGCAGGCAACTGCTATAGACATTGATTCTGGTGAGACCACTTCAGTCAAAATGGACTTCATGTCCAAGTAATTAGTTTGATTCAGAAATGTGAAGCACTTGTATTACACTTTCTTCTATTGATGTATATCAACTTATTTCCAGAAATTAAAAATATAGTTGACCATAGGTTCAGCATTGTGTAAAATGTAATTATATTACAGATCGCAATCTAATATACTGGTGTGGGGATTCCTAATTAATTGTGCAGTTTGAAACTTGTAAAATGCATATAGTTAGAAGCACTGCTTGTTGTTATTTTTTTTAGTATTCACACATATATGGTAAAGCCTTTGTTGTAAACCAAAAGAGATTTGGAGATTTAGAAGAAATCTTATGTATTACAAATCATGTATGTATGAGGTCTTGTGTTTCTGACAATGCATCAAAAATATAAAGCATGAAGACATTGCATTGTGCTGTATTATATATTGTTTTTCACCCTCTTGTTCTCATGAAGTATCTTAGTGCAGTCTCTATAGCAGGATGGACAGTCAGCAGAACATGATGAAAAGGGTTTATGTCTGAAAGCATTTGGAGACAGTTTAATGGTGTTAAAATGTATCCATGAAAATATTGCATATTATAAACCCATGTTAAAAGAAAATCTTGGAAAAAATAAAATAATTACCTTCAAGAATTCAACTCTTTTTTTTGTCAAAATATTTGAGGAATCACATCCTTTTCACACACACACTTATCCTTCTAGGTTGTGGGGGTGCTGGAGCCTATCCCAGTGTTCATTGGGTAGAAGGCAGGAAACACCTTGGATAGGTTGCCAGTCATGTAGGGCACATCCTTTTCAGAAAAACAGTATTGTAACAATAATTTCAGTTAGAAGACTGCGTTATGTCTATCAGACTACCTTCATTTGACTTGACTCATCTAAGCAATAAAGCATATTATGAAGTCAAAATGTAATGTCAAAAACATTGAAAAATCTAATTATAAAGTGACAAAAATCCAAACAATTTTGTATATTAAATTCTTCAAAGTATCCTGCTTTTTGTCTTGATGCAGCTGAGCAAACTCAACTGGCTTTATAAGGCACCAACTGGGGTGCTTTTCTAGTACCCTTGAAGATGTTTGTAGATATGTTGAACTACTGTTTACTGCTCAAATCTACTTGTTGAGGGAGCATCACTTCCTAGTTTAAAAATGAGTTTGATCAGCCTGTTCCACAGAGGTCCAAAAAAAGCAAAAGTAAATTAAGCCTCACTGGCAGGGGTTGTGAGTGGGCTGATACTGAGGAATGAAAAGAGATCCAAATGTCACGTTTGTTCCTGAAGTGCAGTTTATGTTCTCTACGGTAGACGTGGCCTCATCAGTCTCGCTGTCCAGGGAAGCTCCATCAGCCCCCAAGTTCCATGTTGCACACTTGTCAGAGTCTTTAACCACAGTAAATAGTGTATTGTTTAATGTTGTCCGTACTACCATGGCCTTAGATGGGATACATCACCTTGTAGTCTAGCTGCCTCTCAGTCTACAGCTGCATGACTGTAGGTCTAGCCCCTATTTCAAACTGATTTCTGTGATTTAGGGGTATGCGTATTACTGCCCCAGACCTACCAGTCCCTGATCTGGGTCCAGTCCTGGTCCAGCTCCAGTGACTACAAATGATTTGGTCCAATTACCTTGTTTAAATCTTGTCTTAGTTTCTGTTCACTGATTCAATTTCTAATTCAGTTACACTAGTGTTGAAATATCTTATCCACAAAGGGCCAGTGTGGCTATAGGTTTTCATTCCAAACAAGCTGAAGCACATCAGATTCTATTTATTAAATTAGTTGGTCTCAAACAATTGATGAAAACCTAAAGCCATACCAGCCCTCTGTGAATAAGACTGAACACACCTGATCTACTGTTACTGATTGAGCACCTATCTTATAGTGCATGGTATGATTACTAATCCAGAGTCCAGAACGACTTTTTTCCTGGATGAGTACCAGCAAACACAAACATCAGTATCAAGAATGGCAGTTGTCTGCCTTGAGTAATGATTCTCTGGCCAATAAATGGTCACACTATTTATAGTTCCACCCATGTATCTGTCTTAGCACTCCTGTTACCCTTTTTTTATTGGCTAGCCGTTGTACATACATCCAGCTTGTTTCCAGACCAAGAGTGTCCAGTCCACAAAGAGCTGGTGTAGCTGCAGGTTTTTCTTCCATGAAAGCAAGGGCACCTGACCAATTGATAAAAGACTGAGACCAACTGATTTTTAAAGTAAAATCAGGTGAGCTCCAGTTTGTTTTGTATGAAAACCCACAGCCACACCATTCCTTTGCGGAAAAAACTGGATACTTCTGCTCCAGATCCTTGATCCAGGGGGTTAAGGGGTTAATTCAGGAGTGTCAAACTAGGCCCCTTTTAGGGCATCACTGCAGAGACTTTCTGTCTTCTGTTATTACAACTCTCTCTGTTTATTGGGTTGGGTATCTTCTGTTCAAATATTATCCACCACTGTTGTGTGAAGCTAAAATCACCATCATTCTCTGAGAAAAACTTTGTTGCTTCTCTAGAAGATCATTTGTCACTTGCCTCAATCTCTCATATGTAGTACTTT